GATTATATATATATATTTGTATAAAAAAAAAGATTGTATAAATGGCTTTTCTTATTGGTAAAAAGAAGAATAGCTATTGGTTTGTTATAGGAATTCTTTATATTTTAATTTGGGAAACAAGTAAGTAAACCAATACATCATATAATAAACCCGAAAATATAATAAAAAAAAAAGATATTTTTTTTCATAAAATTTTTTTTTTTTTTTCATATACAAAATATCGATTACAACAGTGGCTAACTTTTAAATTCTTTTCATCTTTATAAAGTTTGTTGTTTTTCATATAGTACGAAGGAGATTGAAAGAGAAAAGCAGATTTATAGGGATATTTCAAAATCAATCTTTCAAAATTTAGAGGCATTAAGCGGTGGTTCTCAAGAGAATGGTAATCATAATGAAGACGATACCATCTATATTGATAAGTTTGAAGATGAGGATAAAGAAAAAAGCGGCATAGATTTAGATAGTGGTGATATTAAACCCAAAACAACAACATCAATAAAAAAAACAACTCCAATAAATAAAAAGATAATACCAGATTTAAGAGAACTATTACCACCTTTAAATTTAACATTCGATGTAAAGAATTCATCAATGAATATACCTACATATGTAAACACTGATTCCTTTAGCTTATCAGATATCAATATCAACTCTACTCATTTTGGAATGCAATCAGATAATATTAAAATGAACATTAGTGTAGAGGCAAACCAATTCCCAATCTCTATGAATTTAATTTCAAACAAATCAGATGTACCCATTTCATTAGGAATTTGTATGATAATATTTAATCATTATATTATTTAATAATTAATAAATTAACACAAATATTTTTTATAATAATACTTATAGATGGCGCAAATAATATTCCTGTCAATTTAATTGTTAGCTCACTTGACACCCCAGCATTAAACTACTTGGTAATATTTGTCTTTGGTTCTATTAATTTCATTTTAGTTGTTTTCGTTGTTACTCAACAAATTTCGATTTGTAAACTAAAGAAACGATTAGATGCTATAGATATTTCCAATCAAGTGTTAAAAGGAAAAAGATTCAAAAAAGGTAATGTTTGGTATTCATCGATAAATAGTGAAGACAGTGATTCAGAGGTAATAAAAATCAATAGCAACAACAATAATGAAAGTTCAATTGATATAGAGAAATCAGGTAATATTAATAGTCCAATATCAATTATTACATGCAATAGATGCGGTCAAATTAATGGTAAAACTAGATTTTGCTTTAATTGCGGTAATGGTTTAATGTAATTTAGAAAAAAATTATAAATAGAAATGAATCTTTTGATATCCAAAAGATTCACAAATAAATAAATAAATTTAAAAACATAATTTAAAAGTAAAGTTTTTTTTTTTTTTTCCAATAAGTTAATTAATTATACAAATATTCGAATATATGTATAAGTTTTAAAATTTATTTTATATTTTAAATTTATATTTATTAAAATAATACTTTATTATTTATTAAAGATAAACTTGCATATTTTCCACTTGAAGCTCTAAAAATTCTATCAAATACAGCTTCGCTGTTATCTAATTGTTTAAATTGTTCTTTTCTTAAATCTGGTAATAAAATGATTTTTGCGTTTTTAACATTTTCGCTCCATCTTAAGACTGAGAATAATTCGCCTGATGCTTCTTCGATATTACATGATTCTGATAAATCTTTATATGCTAAACACTTGTTTTTAAATTCCATTGGTAACTGATTACCAAAATCTATATATACACACTCTGAAAAATCTATATTACTACTACTATTATTACTATTATTATCTATATTATTTGTTAAGGTATTTTCTAAAATAAAGGTTTGAATATCTGGGGCATAGTGTGTTAAAAGTTGACCTGGAGCCTCTTGGCCTTCTGAGGTTTGATTGGAAACAGTTTTATTGATAGCTTCAATTCTAATTTCGTTACCAAAATGTTTATCTATAATTTCTCTAATTGATTTTTCAGAGTGACCACCTTTTCTTAAAATTACTAAATGATCATCTGAAACTATTTTTAAAACTGTTGATTCGATACCAATTTTGCATGGGGATTGATATTTTTCGTTGCAGTCTAAAATTGTGATATCTGAGTGACCTAAATCGTCAAAGACGTGCATTGCTCTTGTTGGGCTTACATGTCCGAATCTATTTGCGCTTGGGGCAGCAATGGGTTTACCGCTGTGTTTAATTAACAATTGTGCTAAATCATGTTTTGGATATCTGACACCAACATAACCAGTTTGTGCTGTTACAATCATAGGTATTAATTCGCTAGATTTTGCAACAATAGTTAATGGTCCTGGCCATAAATTATCTGTTAAAACTTTAAATATCATCTTTTGTTTATCTGTTAATTGTAATAAGGTTTTTGCATATTCTGAATCTATAACATGAACAATAACTGGATCTGTTAATGGTCTACCTTTTGATTGGAAAATTGATAATACTGCTTTTTCATCCAATGCATTTGCACCTAAACCATATACTAAAAATTGAAATAAAAGTTTTATTAGTGATTAATTATTTTTTTTATTTTAATTTTCTCTATTTTTATCCACATACCAGTTTCTGTTGGGAATGATACCAAACCACCATCTTTAATTTTTTTACCAGCTTCAATAATATTTTCAATTGAAGGTTCAACAATTTTAGCTAATGGTTCTAATTGGGTCATTTCTTTAATATTGTAATTTTTATTTATTATGGTTGTTGTTGTTGTTGTTGTGGTTGTATAGTTTGATTTTATAATGAATGAATTATTTAAAAAATTTTTATTGTTAGTATTAAAAATTCTTAAATTATTCTTAATTTGATTTGTTTTTAAGGCGTGGGGTTTTATATTATTGTTTCTATTATTATTTTTTAGTAAATTTAAAATAATCTTATTTTTATCAAATATCCTATTCATATGTGTGATAATATTAGTTGATCAATGGATATTTTTTTAAAAAACTAATTATTATAAAGTATAAAATAAAATAATAATTATAATTATAATTATTTTATTTAAGATATTGTTATGTTATTTTTTTTTCGTTTTTTTTTTAAATTTATTTTTTAATTTTTTTTTATAAAATTTTTTTTTTTTTTTTGAAAAAATTAAAAAAATAAAATTAAAAAAAAAAAAATTTAAAAAATTTAAAAAAAAAAAAAAAATTAAATTTATACATATTATACACAATTATAATTTTAGAATAAATTGTTAATATTTAAATATCTTACCAATAATATAGTAATGATATTAATTTAAAAGAGTCAGATTTGTGTTATTTTTTTATTTTTGTTTTTATTATTATTTTTTTATAAATTAAAAGAAAATAAAGAAAATATTAAACACACACACAACACACACACACAAACTATTTTTTTAAAAATTCATTCTTGTTTTTATTTTTTTAATTTATTTTACAATCAATTAGCAACAAATAAATAAACACCACACACCATATATAAATTTACTCACATTTGTTAAATAAAATATTATAAAATCATTTCTCATAATATATTTAACTATTGTTATTATTGTTGTTGCTGGATTCTTATTTAATATATTAGAAAAGAGAAAAGAGAAAAAAAAAAAGAAGAATAAGGAAATACAATGAATAATGCACCATTATTAAATCAATTAAATAATGAGGAGAAGAGACAGGCAATTGTAGATAAAGAAACATGTGGTGATTATGTATGTAGAACTAATGATTTAGATATTAAACAATAAACCTATAAACTAACCTATTTTATTTGTTTTTTTTTACTCGTAGATTTTAATAGATATTATAGGTAAAGGTGGTTTTGGTGTTGTATATAAAGGATTACATAAAACAAAAGGCCATTTTTCAGCTATTAAAAAGATTAAAATTATAAAGAAAAAGAAACAACAAAATGAATCACAAAATTCTTTAATGGCAGAAATTAATTTATTAAGAGTTTTATCGCATCATAATATTGTAAGATATTACGAACATATTCCGTCATCATCACATTCTTATATTATTATGGAGTAAGTTTTATACATAATTTAAAAGAAAAAAAAGAGAAATATAATTCTAATATAAATATAACTATTTTAGGTTTATCGAAAATGGGTCATTGGAAAAAATTATTAAAAGACATGGTTTATTACCAGAGTCATTGGTTACAGTTTATATTGCACAAGTGTTAAATGGTCTAGAATATTTACATCGTCAAGGTGTTATTCATCGTGATATCAAAGCAGCAAATTTATTAATTAGTACTGATGGTTCAATTAAATTAGCAGATTTTGGTAAGTTGAAATAATTGTTTTTTAATATATATTATAAATTTCGATATTAATATTTTAATTTCTTTTAATATATAAAGGTGTTGCAACTAAAGTTTCAGATTTAAGTAGTGATAATCCAGATGATTCGTTTGCAGGTACACCATATTGGATGGCACCAGAGGTAATTCAAATGCAAGGTATTTCGACGGCATGCGATGTTTGGTCACTAGGTTGCACTATTATTGAATTGTTAACAGGTACACCACCATATTTTGGATTAGCACCGGCTGCAGCATTATATAAAATTGTTCAAGAAGATCACCCACCTATCCCACAGGGCATTTCTACAGCATTAAAAGATTTCCTATTAAATTGCTTTAAAAAAGATGAGAATATGAGAAGTAGTGCAAAACAATTATTATTTCATCCATGGGTCAAATCAATCGCTCAAAATATTAAAATTACAGAAAACCAAGTTAAAAACGCAAGACAAGAGATTTTATCATATAATACACAATTACAAGAGATTAATTTAGATACAAGACCAAGATCTTCTGCATCAAATATTCCTTTACCACAGGCTTCAACTTCGCCTTCATCATTACCACCACAACTACCATCACCAATAAATACTACAGCCACAACTACCACTACTACTGCTACAATCAATAATAACCCTTCAAGCACTTTCACAAAATCACAACCAATTTCGGTTGGTAATGGTTCAGTTAGTAAACCAGTAGCACAACAACCACAAATTTCATCATCACCAAATTCAATCTGGTCAGCAGTACCATCAAGTAAATTAAGTAATGCAGCCAATTCGATCGATAGGCCATTACACAAATCATCACATCCACCAGGTAGTGTCCAAATTGCATCACCACGTAAATTATCAGCAGGCCAAAAAGTTGCACCTCAACCAGTTCAACAACAAACACAACAGCTTTTAGATAAAGAAAAATTAAATTCACATCTCTTAAAATTTTCAGAGAAAGAAAGCGAAGATGAATTCGATATTCCAGCAATTCCAAGTAATAAAAATTTAAGATCAGGCACCTTATCACCACCTCCACCATTATTACAACGCCAACAAAGTTTTAATAGCAATCTTGCTACCAATAATAGTAATAATAATAGTAATAGTAATAGCAATAGTAATAGTATTAATAGTAGTAACAGTAGTAAATTAAAGTTACCTAAATTCAATAAATATATGGAAAAAGAAAATGAAGATGATGAATCAGATTTGATTTTCGATGTTAAGGTTAGTGACACAAGCAGATTTAAAGTTAGAAATCAAAAGAAGGATTGGGATGACGAGTTTGAAAATTTCAGTTCATCTGATGAAGAAGATAGCCTATCAAATGCTAGTGGTAGTACTGCTAAAAGTGGTGTTTCTTCAATAAGCAAAAATTTATCATCTTCAACAACAAATAAAACAAATTTATTAAATAGTTCTAAAAATAGCAACAATATCAATAATAATAATATGAAATTAAAAGTTAAAGTTTCAGATGCAGAATGGGATACAGAATTCGAAGAGGCTTTTGATACAATGTCATGGTCAGATACAGATAATCAAAGAACTCTTAATATTCAAGATAAATATAGAGAACAGGTTATTAAAACTATTGTTGATTTCTTAATTCAATTAAATCCAAATCAAACTAATGACCAATTAATCGACCTTTGTCAAAAATTAACAGATGTTTTTACAACTTATCCTGAAGAGCGTAGATTATTAATAAGCAATGGAGAGGGCGGTGTTTATTTCCGTTTACCAATTATTACAATTTTAGAAATTTTAGAAGATAAAAGCAATCAAATTATTAACGATACAACAACAACAACAACAGCAACAGCAACTACCATTAATAGTATAGCATCAGCTTTTTCAACTTTATCTTCATCATCAAGTTCAACAATTTTATCAACATCCCCATCTTCAACCAATTCATCAATTATATCAACCTCATCATTTACAAATAATAAATTAAAAAATACAGAGTTAATATTAGGCTTATTAAAATTAATTAATCAATCAATTATCAAAGAAAGGGATATCCAAGAGACTATTTGTTTGATGAATGGTATACCTATTATCACAAGGTTAGCAAATAGACAATTTGATGAATTAGTTAGAGAGGAAGTCTCAAGATTTGTTCTCCAATTATGCAGCAGTTCGACCTATAGTTTAAATATGTTTATAACAGGTAGCCGTGGTTGTAGAGTTTTGGTCGACCTTTTAGATAGTGACTATTTCAATGGCTTTAGTTTAATTCATAACTCATTAGATGCAATCTCTTTAATTTTTAAAATGAACACTGCCTCACCAAAGACTGCTCTTTGCCATCTTTTTGCAAAAACTTTATTAATGTACAGAATTGCTTTTTTATTAAATCAAATTTTTAATCCAAAAGAAGAAAGCAACAAAGCTCCATCCCCACCACCACCACAACCTACTATCACATCTACTCCAGCATCAGGTGTTTCACCATCAACTACAGCCAGATTAAACAGATCAAAATCCCCATCACTCACCAAATCAAGTAGTGTTAAGAATTTAAGTAAAGATCAATTCGATAAAGTTTTATCCTATAGTGTAAAAGCAGCTGATATTCTTTTATTCTTTTCAACTGGTGATTCATTAGTCAAAGAAGAAATGAGTCAGGCCAACGTAATCAAGTTTATTGTTAATGTTTTAGAAGAAATTTACACATGGAGATTAATAGGAAGTAATATAAGATCATTTTTATTAAGAATCCTCAAAGTAATTAAAAACTTATCAATGGACCCAAATATTAGATCTCGTTTAGATGATGCAGGCGTAATCCCTCCAATGATCAACTTTTTAAAGAAACACTCTGGTATTGAAAAGATCACAGAGATTCACAACCAAGCTTTACACAGTCTTTACTATTTATTATTGTTGGATAGAAATCGACAAGAAAAAGCCTTAAAGGGTGGTATTTTAGAACCACTTTTAAATATTATCGACGAAAGAGGCCCCTTAAAAGAATTAGCATTACCAATACTGTTCGATTTGGTCAGAACATCGAATAATCGTTCAATTCTTTGGCAGTTAGATACATTTGGCAAGCTTTTAGACCTTACTGAAGACAGAAATTGGTTTGCCGATGCCATTGAATCAATTTCAACATGGGCCACCCTTGAACCATCATTGGTTTTCGAAAGGTTAACAGCATCTGCAGAGTCCACCAACAAATTATTTAATATACTCAATGTCAATCATATCAAACATCCATCATTCCAAAAATCAATTATTCCACTCTACAATTTAATTAACCATAAATTTAAAGGTGCCGAAATCTTGTTAAAATCTCTCATCAAAGAGGGATTAGTTACTCATTTATTAGAGTGTCTTAGAATCGACAATTCGCCAATTTCAAAAATTACTTTATTAAAAATTACTGTTACTGTTGTATCGTTTAGTATTGAACAAAATAATAACAACAGTAAAACACTTGTACAAAGTCAAATCGAATCACTTCACACATTATTAAATCAAATAGTTTTACAAGATGAATCTGAAATCGCTAAAATGATTGCAGAAAATTTAATTTTAGATTTAAATAAACTAAAATAAAATTTTATATTATTTATTATATAAAAAAATATGGTATATTATATAAATTCTATTGTTTATAATATAAAAAAAACTATGGTATATTTTATTAAATTTTATTTAATTTTTATTATTAGAATCCAAAAAGTTATTTAAAATTTTAATTTCTTTTTGTAGTTCTAAATATTTTTCTTTATATAATTTTTCATAATCATCAACAATTGTTTTTAGATTATTAACTTTTTCCATTTGTTTTTGAATATTATAATTATTATTACTATTATTATAGTTATTATTATTGCTATTGTTATTGTTATTATTGGTTTCTTTTATATATTTATTGAAGTGATAGCTAAATTCACTTTCATTGCTACTATTACTTCGTTTTATATTATCAGACCCCTGGCTAAGAGTAAGGCTATTATAGTTGTTTTCGAAATCATCTTCATCACTTTCTTCAATTATTATTTGATTTGAATTTCTTTTACTATTTGTCGAGGTTATATTTGTCGTTTGATTCTTAATGTAGGACGTTGTATCTATATTGGATGATTTTTTAAACGTTATATTAAAAACATCATCGGTATTATTGTTATTTTTATTATATGTCTTGTTATTATTTATATTATTATTGTTGTTAATATTAAAAATTGTATTGTTATTATTATTATTTGTATAATTATCATTATTAATGGTTTTATTTTTATCATATAATAAATCATTTAAACCAAAATCAAATTCTTCATTATCAGTTTTTTTTTTATTTGGTTGCTTTTTTTCTTTTTTAATTGAATTGCTATTTACACTTGGGCCGCTTTTACTGTTGCCATCTAAAAAATGGTCCATTTTTGATTTTTTTAATTTTTCTTCTCTTTCTCTTTTAAATTTTAAAAATAAATCTTCATTATCTTCGTCATCCACATTTTCCAATTCATTTGATTTATTATATATATCATAGTTTGGGTTTTGACTTTTAAATAAAAATGTGGGCATTTCAATTTTCTTGAATGATAGGTTGGGATTACTATTTTGTCTTTGTGGTGGTGCTTTTGAATTTACAAATGATCTGATATCTGCTGTTCCATTTTGTTTTTCTTTGAGCTTTTTTCTCTGTTTTATTGTGTTTTTTATTAATGAGTTGAAATCTTCTTCTGTATGTTCTTTATGTTCGTTGTTTTCGTCATCATTTTCATTGCTATTATCATCTAAGTCTTCGTCAAAGAAACTGAATTCTTCATTATTTCTCTTTTTTGATTTCATTTGCAATATTTGATAATCTATTTTCTTTTTTTATATAAAATAATACATAGTTTTTTAATATAATTGGTTATTAATATTTTAACAAATATTTAAAATTAAAAAAAATACATTTTTTTAAAAAAAAAATAAAAATAAAAATAAAAATAAAAATAAAAAAAAAAAAAAAAAAAAAAAAAAAAATAATTTTTCTTATAAAATAGGTGTTTTGGAAAAAAAAAGTTTTAGTTAAAATATAAAAAAGATAGTTAAAATATAAAAAAGAAATCTTTTTTATTTGTTGAAAAATTATATTATATATATATTATTAAAAAAATTTTATTGTGAAAGATCTTTTTTATTACTATCACCATTGTTTTGTTCATTACCATCATTATTTAAACTTCTGTTATTGTTGTGGTTATTATAATGATTGTGGCTGTGGTTATGATTATGGCTATAGCTATTTGCTTTTGAAACTCTATTGGTTGAATAGTTTGATAATATTGCTGGAGAGGATTCAAAAGGTGTTCCTGGTGGGTAAGAAATAACATTGATAGCTCTTTGGTGTGGATAGTATCTATTATAGCATGGGTACACTGTATTATAATAGTGTTAGTAAAATGTTAAAAGGTAATGTATATTAAAATTTAATATATTTACTGGATTGGTAATATTTTGAAGAATGAGGATCTTGTGGATAAGGGTATGGATATAAAACTGGAACCATAACTACATTTTGTGAATAATAAGAGTTTTGGTTAGATGCACAGAATGGTTCATAACCATGATAGATTTCATAGGCTTCTGGTTGGATTGGTAAAGATTGATGGGAGTGATGATGAAAACCAGTAGACCTTTCATATTGCGAGTGATTTGGAGAGGTATTGTTACCATTTTGTGTTGGTGAATTAACAAAATGTTTTTGATTTACATTGTTTTGTTGTTGGTGGTTATTATCATTTTGAGTAGGGCAGTTATTAGAATTATTATTAGTGGATCCTGTTGTTTGATCAGATGAAGATAAGGAAGGGGGAGGAGAGTGGCTATAGGGAGATTGATATTGTGGAGTTGGGGATGGTGATTGGTGATGTGGAGGAGATGGAATTAAATTCGATGGGGATTGTGGTACTGATGAGGAGGGTGGATAGTTTTGGTGTTGGAAGAAAAAGAAAGGTTTTTGTGAATTGCTAAGTGGATACTGACTAATCATGTGGTTGGCAGGATGATTGCCCATCATGGCTTGTTGGGCAATTCTTTTGTTTTGGCTATCAGCAATTCTAACATCTACTCTTTTCCCTAAAATGAAATGGGTTTCATTTAGAACAGTTTCATTAATATTCTCATCTTTAAAACAAACAAAACCAAATCCTTTGACCGATCCATTCTTTTCAGTTAATAAATTGTATTCTAATACTTCTCCATAGTCTGAAAAATAGCTTTTAAAATCATCTATAAAAAAAAAAAAATTATGTATTAAAATTTAAATTGTTTGTTTTTTTTTAATTAAATAGTTTTAAAACTTACCAGGTGTTGTATGTTTGGGTAATCCACCAACAAAAAGCTTTTGTTTCTTTGGCTCTTCAATCATATCTTCTTTTGGGATTGCTTTTCTGATTTCAACTCTTTTACCTTCTATAAGATGTTCTAAATAAAAAATTGAATCGATAACTGTTGGATCAGCAAAAGTAACAAAACCAAATCCCCTACTTTTGTTTGATTTTTCCGTGGCTTTAATAACAATTGATTCTTTAACAACGCCGAATTCTGAAAAATAATCTCTTAATGATTCTATAAAAAATTTAAAAAATCAATAAAATTTAGAAAATAATTTTAAAATTTATATAATATTTTATATTTACCATTCGAAGTTGTTTTTAATAGACCACCAACAAAAATTTTACCTGAAGCATTAGATGTTTTTTGGATATTACATTCATCTACATTTCCATCACTATTTTCATTATAAACATTATCATTGTACTCTTCTACATAAACACCATCTTCTTCATTGTACAGGGAACTGTCTCTATAGCTATTTGTGCAACTACTTTCATCTTCATAATATGGGCTACTGTTGATCGAGTCATTACTAAATAACTCTAATTCCCTACTATTTGTTGAATCTTCTTTGGGTAAACTTTGAATTGAATTTATACTAGTACTATTATCTTTATCATTATTATTCTTACCTGTTTGGTCATCATTTTGTGTTGCATCCATTATTAAAATTTTGAAAACTATTAAATAATATATATAGATATAAAATAAAAAAATAAAAACTAATACGAAAATATAAACTATAGCTAATAAAACTACGAGATGGATTAAAATAATAAATAATAAAATTTATTATTGGTTCTATTATAAAAAATTTTTAAAAAAAAAATAAATAAATAAAAAAAAAAAAAAACAAAACTTTTTTTATTTTTTCAAATGCAATTTAATTATATAAAATAATTCTTTATATTATTATAATAATAAATAAAATAGTTTAAAAATTTCCTTTATAATGATTTTAAAATAAAATTATGAAAAGCCCACGCTAATTCATAAAAACAGAATATTTTTATTTATTAAAATTTTTTTTTAAAAATATTTATAGAAAATAGATGAAAAATTAAATTTCTTTTTATATCAAAGTTTGATTGAAAATTTAATTTAGGTAAAATTGAATCAGTAGAGATTTTTTGCGAACTTACGAAAAAAAAAAAAAAATAATAATAATTTTTAATAAATAATTTTAAGTTTGTTATTTTATATTTTTTATTTGTTTTTTTTATAATACCGAGAGTGAATAGATTTGAGTTTAATCTAAAATTGAACCTAAATGATTGTTTTGTTGTGGGGCTTGATTAATGAATGACGGTAATGGTGGAGGTTGTTGTTGATAAATATTGGTTTGGTATGAGTATCCTGGAGCTTGTAATGGTGGTGGTTGCGAATAAATATTAGTTTGATATGGTGATGAATATTGTTGTTGTTGTTGTAAGTACATATTCTGGTTTGGTGACATTACAGGTTGTAATGGTTGTTGAAGCATAAAGTTTGGTGGTTGTTGTGATATTGCGTATGTCGATTGCTGTGGTGGATAAACGGATGATGGTATTGGTTGTAATGGTGGTGGTTCGGATCTATAATAGTTATTATTACTATTACCGCTATTCTTTGCTCCCCAAGAATCAATTAAAAGTTGATCTAGGTTTTGTGACTGGGATTGAAGTTGTTGTTGACCATAAAGAGAGTTTGGATTAATACTGCTTGAGTGAATAGGTTGGATTTTACCACTGCCTGTGTTACTATTACTATTATTACTATTATACATGTTATTATGTTGAGTTGGTTGTGAAGTTGGTACCAATAATTCCATTGGTGGAGGAGTTGAGGTAGATGGAGGTAAAGCTAAAGTATTATTATTACTATAAGCACTACCACTATCATTGAATGATGATGGTATTGGTGAAAGTCTACCTTTTCTTGGATCAAATTGATCATCAAAAAATGGTGAATGATTTCCATCACCCGAAACTGGAACAAGACTATTACTACTACCACTACTACTATTATTATTATTATTATTATTGTTATTACTATTATTAAGGAATGAAGAGGATGGTGATCTTTTACCTCCAGATCCTGTTAACTTAGTAAGACTAACTGGTGCATTATTTACATTATTATTATTATTGATGTTGTTGTTATTCGTAAAATCAGTTGGAATTTGAACCAATAATTGTTGGGGTGTTTGTTGTTGATTTGGTGTTGGTACCATTGGTAAAGGTCTACCTGATGACAATTTTCTTTGAGTTGATGTAGTGGTTGCAAGAATTGAATTACTGCCACTACCACTTCTAGTTTTAATATTTTCTTGTTGGGTGGTTGTAATTTGGTATTGAATATTTGATTGGTTAGCGTTGCTATTTACTGGAACAATTGGTTTTGGAGTAACAATTGTATTTGTTGGTAAAACTTTTACAGGTTGTGAGTGATTAACTGCAACACCATTATTATTATTATAAGTACTATTTGTTAATGCTTGGCTTCTTGAAGAGATTGACAATGAATCAAATTCTTTTGTTAATGTATTTGCACCATCTTTATTAATGCTAATAAATTGTGAAGATTTTTGTTCATATAATTGTTGACGAAGTAATCTTTCTTTTTCTTTATCAATCTTGGTGACTTCTACTTGGAAATAAGAACTTACTGGTCTGTGGTCAGATGAAAAGATCTCATGTCTTGTGTAGTAGAGTTGTCTTAAATCATGGTGAACTTTATTTGCCCAAAGGATTCTATCTGTGTAAGCTGGTGCTCTTTGTTTTTGACTTGTGTCATAACGATTAGTGTTTAAATCGTATTTATAAGTTGGAGCAAATGAGATAACCTCTTCTCTGAATCCACCGAATACTCTACCGGTCTCCATACATCTTTTTAATTGATCGTGGTCATAAAGTTTTGGGAAATTACCATCATTGATGCATCTCTTAATTTCCTCATCTGGTAAATCAATTCTGAAATTGAAATCACCTAACCAGAAAGAATAATCTGAATCTGAAACTCTATATTGACCTTGACGTCCAAATGCTAACTGTGAATCTATTTCTCTGAAATCGTTTACACGATCGTCCACATTAGAGTGACCTGCTGCAAAATGAGCAGTAACAAAAGTGAAAGAAGTATCGGCGAAAAGCAATCTTACACCAATGCCACCTTTGTTACCAGCAAGACCTTGTAAACCAACTTTAATATTTTGAATTTGAACCTCTCTGAAACAATAGATACTATCCTCTTTAACATAAATACATAATAACAAACCAACCAATTGACTCGATTGTAATTTTATATATTTGACGGATGGATTTGTACGAGCGAGAGCTCTTTCAATAGCGTCTTCCCATTGACGACCAATTGACGAATCTGTAGCCAAAATTTGACCTGCTGTTAATTCGACAACCTCCTGTAAACCTAAAACATAGAAATCTGGTGCTGGATAGCTACTCTTTAACCAATCTGTTAGATTGAATGTGTGTGAGGGCACACCACCAACATTATAGGTACCAACAAAAACATTTTTAAATTCTTTTTGAGAATATTCATTTACTCTATCTTGAACCTCCTTTCTAATGTTATCATCGTGACCACCGTGACTAATTGCCATTGATTTGTGAAGACCTAAAAGTAAATCCAATACGTCTTGTCTACCGGGATCTTTGAAGTTGTTTATATAGAATCTAGTCATTGTTTTTTTACCATCAGCAAGCATACCCATAATACCATAATCACCTTCACGGGTTAAAGTTGATTTCAATGAGCCAGAACCAGCGTATTGAATAGAAAGAGCATCACCATTATCAGCCCACATTGTTTTCAATAGTTGTGACATACGGGTATATCCACTAACAGAGTCACGATTAGAGAATAGACCAACTAAACGAAGATGGTTTTCGAAAAGAATCCAACTAATACGAGATTGGACGATATTGGTACGATCCAAACAATCTTTGCAATTTGTTCTAATGATACCATTTTGTTTTGATTGCACTTGACCATTGGCATTTTGGAAAAAGTAACCGACAACTTTTAATTGTTGGAATACTTGGTTATCGATGTAGTTGACCAACGAGTCTAAAGAGTCCATTCTATTGCCTTTTGTTTGTTCATGCAAATCGAAATGGTTATAAAATATTTGACTTGAACGCAATATTCTTATTTGCTCCTCATATGCATTAATTAAATCACATTCACCACTCTTGAGTTTTGATAATAAATTGACGATTACTATATTTCCATACTTTGAGGTTTGTTCTTTCATGTGTAATTGGAAAGCAGGAGTTGTAGCCTGAGTGTTACGAGCAATTACAATCTTCTTTTTACTAATTTTACCAATCTTTGAAAGATTTGACATCTTAATCTTTAAATCGCTTAATTGAGGTGATGATTGATTCCAAAATACAGGGACTGAACCACGAATTTGAAGAAATGCTAAAACACCAAAATTATCAACACTAAGGATTTGTTCAGTTTCCACAAAATTTGCAACATTACCATCATCGTCAATACCACGAGTTACAAAACGAGTGCCTGCTCTAAAACGACTTCTTCTAGAGATTAGTGTATATTGAACATTTTTGCTCTGTATATGACCTAGATTATCTGATACTACATAACCTTGAATAATTGGGAAACACCAATCGTAGAGACGATACGCTATAAAATCTTTTTGTAAATATTTGTTCCAATAAAATCTTTTGTCCACTCTTTCCCATACTGGTAATCCTTCTTTTGGATCTAATACTTGTCTTTGGTATGTACGTGTTATATCGAAGCTACTATTTGGTGGAGTCCAATAAAAATGACCACTGTTCAATAAATTCATAACCTGGACATAAGGATGTTTGCTTTCATATTCCTGTTGTTGTTGTTGATACTCTAAAGCTGAGTGACCTCTACCTGTCACAAATGATATAAAATCGGTGCATCTAATTTTTCTAATAACATTCTGTTGTCCTTTAAATTGAAAATTTGCTGCAATATCGGATTCTGTAACAACAACTAAAAAACATTCTATAACCAATAAAAACAATGTTAATTAATATATTTAATTATAATATTTTTTAAAATAAAGATATTTACCATTATAAATTCTAAATATACCTAAAACACAATATACAGTTCTATCGGATCTTAAGTTTGGGTCAATTTGATTTGATGCTATAATATCAATTTTAGAAGGATCGTGTCTGTTGATCACCAATGCTTTACTATTTAGTGAATCTCTTTTAACAATAAAATGTCTATCATTTATATAAATTCTAAATGTATTATCAGCCATTATTATTATTTCCTATTGTTTTTATTGTTTTTATTATTAATTTTTTATTTTATTAATGTATTATTTAATTATTATTACTATTTTATAATATTACTTTTCATTTGCATTAAAACTACACTAAATTAAATATGCTTTATAATTATTATTATTATTATTATTATTATTGTGGTCGTTGTTTTATGTTATTCTCTATATGCAGCTATTTATCTGCTGTTGCGTTGTAATTTAAACTATTTTTTAAAATTTATAAAAATTAAAAAATAAAATTTTTAAAAAAAATAAAATTATATTTTAAAATATTAATTTGTGTGTTTAAATATAAAATAAAATAAAAATAAATAAACAACAAATAAAATAATTAATTAATTTTATTTCCACACCCACAATATTTAAATCCAAATAATAATTAAAATTTTTAAAAAAATCGTTTTGTGTTTGAAAAAAAAATAAAAGAAAATTAAAAAAAATATTTTTTTTTTTTTTTTTTTTTTTTAATTTTTTTTTTAAATTCAAAAAATGGTTTTAATTATATGAAAAAGGTTCAGTTACATATCGAGCTTAAACAAACCATTTTTTTAATATATATAATTAAACATTATGAAGGTTATATTCATTTCTTTTAAAAATAATTTATACACTATATAAAATAATTATTGTTGTTTTTATAATATTTTAAAAATAATAACATTTTGAGAAATTAAAAAAAACAAATAACAACTAAAAAAAATAAAAATAAAACCAAAAAAAAAAATAATAATTATACAAAAATATTTTTTTTTCTATTATTAAGAATATCAATCATTACAAAAATGGTTTTAGGTAAATGGTTTTATTTTTAAAATAGTATATCAAATAACATGAATCTTATTTTATACTAATGTAGTTAAAATATTTATTCATTATGATTTACAAATTTTATTTTAATAATTATTGTTTACTCTCCCACTCTTTATTTTTTCCATTATTTGAAAAATATTGATTGGTGAAGGTACCAGTAATTTTAAATTTAGTTTTCTAAATTAGGTTTTCGAAATACTATAAATATCAACACATAATTGTACATCCATAAAAGAACAAAACAGGGATGATTCACTCTAATTATTTAGATTTAAAACAAAATAATTTGTGAAGTAATAGTGTTGATGTTGGGGGTGATATAAATATTTTATTGTGAAGGCTCACAAATATATATTCATGTGTTAACATATATTATTTTAAAATAATAATAAAAATAATAAAAATAATCATATTTTAATGTTATATATGTAAGTTATAAATATATGTATTTATTTTATTATTATATAAAATAATAATTTGTGTTTTTTTTTAATTATTTTGTGTTGGTGTTAATGTGTGGTGGGGTAAAGTGTGTAGTATTTTTTATTGTTGAATTCAAAAAAGGGGGTTTGGTATATATTTGTGCATATGTTTTTCAATACTTTTTTTTTTTTAAATGTGCGTAACTATAATAAACTGTGTTAAATTAAATAAGAAAAGAAATTTTATTTAAGGGGTGTTGGTTAACTCCATTTATATATTTGATATAAACTTATATCATTTTTCATATATGTATTATAACAATGTGGTATAAATTTAATTATATTTTTTTTATATTTATATTTTTTTTAAAATATTTTTAAATCAAAAAAAAATTAATACAACTCATATCAACTTATAAGTTAGTGTGTGTTTTTTATAATAAATAAATATTTATTTTTTTGTTCTTCTATTTTTTTATAATTAAAGATAATAATAGTTTTCTAAAAAAATAAATAAAACTCAAATTCATTGGTTTTTTATATATATCAATCAGTCTAATAATTAATAATCATTATTATTTAAATTAAAAATAATATAAAGTAATTATAGAAATAAACACCCACACTTTTTTTTTTTTTTACACAAATATAATCATATACCCATCTATTTTTATTTATTTAGAATTTTAAAATAATTAATTATTAATCATTTATTTTGTTTATTTTTATTATTTGTTTATTTATTTATATTATTTTTTTTTATTAAAAAAAAAAAAAACTATTGTGTTTGAAAAAAATTGTGTAATATTTTTGTTATTTATTTTTAAAACTCTATTTTATTGAACACAATAAAAGTTAAAAACAAATACAACATAACAATAAATAAAAATAAAATTATTTATAATTAATAGCAGTTTAATTTTCTTTTAAAATTTTTTATATCAATTATAATATAATATATAAAATTAATCACTCTCATAATCAAAAACTAGATATCACGGAGGATAGAGGCGTAAGAATATTTAATTTTTTAAATAAAACTTACTTTGTTATACAAATAAATATTATATAGTGATATATTATAACTTTATTTAATTTTTGTGTTAATATATGTGAAGAGTTTGTGTGTATGTGTGTATGTGTTATATTAATATGTGGTAGTATTAGAGCAATTATTTATAAATATATCACCACTTTTGTGTGGTTAGTTGATGATTAAAATAATCAATTCTATCATTTTTCATTACCATTTAAAAACATTAAAATACAGGTCGATCAGCACAAAGACTGTCATCCTCACAACAGTTAAATATTCAACCACATTTTTTTTATAATCTTTAAATGGTAATCATACCCAACTTTAATATCCTCCATATTAAAGAAAGAAATAAATTTTTTAAAATAAAAAATATAAATAATATATTAAAACACATATTTTATTGGTTGTTAAAAAATACCTTATTAATATCACTCACATAAACAAAAATAAATTAAGGAACAATCAAAAAAAAAAAAAAAAAAAAAAATCATAAAAAAAAAAAAAAATCAAAATAGAGAGATATAAAAACAATCATATCCATACGGTTATTGCTTAAAGATATAATTCTTTATTTAAAATAATTTAAATTATTATAATCATAACTAATCATTAATATTGTGTGTATTTTTTTATTTGTTTATTTTTATTTTATTTTATTTTTATTTTTTAAATATATTTTTAAAAATTATTTATAAAAAAAAAAAAATACAAAAATAAAAATCATAAATATAAATATATATTATTAATAATAATAATAATAAAACTTATAATTATAATTATAATAACAATAAAAATATAATATTACATAAATTAATAATTAAATTTATATATTAATAAATTTTTTTTTTTAAATTTAAATTTAATAATTTTTATTTTAAAATATTTTATTTTTTTTATTTTTAAATAACATAGAGTAATAATAGCAGTTAACAACAACAACAGTAATAATGGAATCATCAATTATGAATAGAAATATAACATTACAGTCACTTCAAGAGCAAGTTGAAACTTTAGAAAAAAGAAACCAATTTTTAGAAAAAGAATTAGAACATTACAAAAATGAAGTGCAATCAACAAGAAAAATCTTAACTGAAAGAGAGAATTTACTCCTTCAACTTCAATGGGACGAAAACGATGCTGAAATCGATGCAGATGCTCAAAAGAAAAAGAGATCAAAAGAAAGAGTTGCCAATGAAGAAAGACAACAAATCCAAAGATTAAGATCACAAATGAAGATTATGGAAACAGCATTAGAGGAAAGAGATACAAATATTCACAAGCTTCATAAAGAGTTAAGCGACTCTAAACTTAACCACCAATATACCATTGAGGCCATCACCGCCGGTAGAGAAGCACCACAAAGAAGCAAAACAAGTTGGGGTTTCCGTTCATCTCCATCATCATCACCAATGGTCTTCAAACCATCCTACTCTGCATCACCAATCGGCAGTGAAAAACACTTTACCAATGCTGCTCCATCGCCTGTTAATTCACCAGCTTTAGGATCTCCAAACTTTGCCTCATCATCCACCTCTGGTTCACCATCTATGATGGAATTTGACTATAATGGCCACCCAAAAAAGTTGGGAAAAAAGGGAAGTATTTTCAACTTTAGAAAATCAAAATCAAAATCACCAATTATTCAAGATAATAGCTGGGCCACTCAATCTGCTCATTAATAATAGAATAGAATAATAACAGTACTTTCCTTATAAAAAAAACAATCCAAAAAAAAATATCAATGTAAAAATTTCTTTTAATCTTTAAAGATCCAAAAAGAGTTCTATCATTAAAAGTATATTACTATTATGTTTTTGTAATCTTTAAAAAAAAAAGTATAAATAAAAAACCTTTTTTGAAAAAATAAAAAATAATCTTTATTATTCGTCAAATAGATTTATTTATTATCACTATTGTTTTTGTCTATATATTATGTTGATTGTTATGTTTTAGTTATTTCCTGGTTGTTGTGGTGGTCTTTGGAATATTTTCTTTTGGCCGGTTGCTCTTAAAGTAATTTCACCTGCTAAAAATCTACCATCTTGGAATACACCTCTTCTAATATATCTTGGATCTTTTAATTCACCATATCCAGAGTATTCACCATTTTTAATGGTACCATTGTAGTAGAAGCCATCACCATTCATTTTGCCTTGACCATTGAAGTTTTGGAAACGAGTTTTATATTGATAGGAATGGCCGATGCAATAGCCTAAAAGAGTTGAACCAAAATGAGCAGCATGATCCCAACTTGTGAGTTTGCTAAGTGGTCTAATTAAACAGCCAGCTAAATCGAATAACATTAGACAATGAATGAATGAAATTGGTTCGAATGAGATTGGTAAAAACATAATAGAGAGACGTGATTCTTTTTCTAGGAACACAGAGGCACCGACAATCGATAAAATGGAACCTGAAGCACCAATCGATGGGATTTCAAAACCTTTGGTCATCAATTTGAATGTAAGTGAAGACATTGAACCTACTAAACCACCCAATACGTAGAGCAAAAGGAAATCACGGAATCCCAAACTATCATAAACTACACCACCAAAGTTGAATAAAGCATACATATTGAATGCGAAATGAAGAACTTCCGTATGTGTAAATGTTGAAAGTATAATCGAAGCTGGGTATTTTTGGATGGTTTGTGGTGAGCAGTAAAAGTGGAGTGCAAATTTCTGGTAGAATGCTGGGTTCTTTAACAGAGCAAATATGATTGTGTTTAATGCGATAATAGACCCAATAACCAAATCTCTTTCCTTAATTTTAAATCCATAAAATTCATAAACATTTTGTTTTTTATAATCGTCAGTGTTGTTGTTATCATTTGGTGATCCTCCATACACTGAAAATAAACCCATTGAAACTATACCTGCTGAATATAATATTCTTTTTTTATTTCTATTTAAAAATTCGAAATTAAAATTTTCATTTTGTTGATTATTATTATTTTCATTATTATTTTCATTATTGTTATTGTTGTTATTATTGATATTTTCATTTATTTTTTCATTTTTTGTTGAATAGAATCTAGTATTGAATTTATTATTATTATTATTTATATTAAAAATTGATGATGTTGATGATTTTATATTTGAACTTTTTGATTTAGATGATAAAATAGTTGGTTTTATAAATATTATTCTTTCATTTTTATTGATGCATTTGATAGTTGAAAAAAAACTTTCAAATTGTCTTTTGTTTATCTTATTTGAAAGATTGTTAATCGAATTTCTAAACATTTTTAAAATAAATTAAAAAAAAAAAAAAAAAAAAAAAAAAAAAATTAAAAAAAATGCATTTTTTAAAAAAATTTGAAAAAAGAAATTTTTTTTTTTTTTTTTTTTAATTTACTTTCTTTAATCTTTTCATTTGCAAATAGTGCAAAGTTTTTTTTTTTTTCTTCTAATCATCAGAAAATGTATTAAAAGAACCCCTTCAACTTCAATCAAACACACTGGTTTTGCTTCATAATAACTGTCACCCCCATTGTGGGGTTTATTATTATAATTTTACAACAATCTTATAAACATGCAATATATCGAGGTTGAGCTAAAGATAGCATAATTTACATAATTTTAAGTCACTTAAATTTTGATTCAAAACTCTTTTTAAGTTTTTTAAATTTTTTTTACCAATACATAAAAATAAAAATAAAAAAATATTTATTACATTAATAATAATAACAATTTAACAAAATATAAATATTAAAAAAATAACTGAAAGTAGCATTAAAAAAAAAAAAAAAAAAAAAATTAAAATAATTGAAATACTGTAATTACATGGCAAAGCAAAAGAATCAAAAATTTAAAATAAGTACTGGAATTAGGAACAATTTAGGTAAATATTACATTATTATTATTTTTTTATATTTTTATTACAAACCTTATTAATATATTATAAATAATATAAAAATAGCTAAATATCAAGAATCTAAAATATTTAGAGAAATTGTTCAAAATGCTGAAGATGCTGGTGCAAATGAAGTCATCATTAAATTAGATTTAAATACCTATGGCTCTAACAAACTACATTTTAAAGATGGTCATGAGTTTCACAGCAACTTAAAGGATCTACAAGGACCAAGTATTATCATTTATAACAATGGTGTATTTAAAGATAGTGATTGGGAAGGTAAGTTTTATTTTAAAATTAATAATTATTATAAAAAAAAATTTACAAAAACATTATGTAAATCAATATTAATTCTAAAAATTATCTATATAGGTATTGAATATATCGGTGAAGGATCAAAAAAGAAAGATATGCTTTCAATTGGTAATTTTGGATTGGGATTCAATTCAACATACCATATTACTGATTGCCCTCAAATTATTTCTGGAAAAAAGCTTTGGTTTTTAGATCCACTTGACCTAATTGGAGGTGGTATTGAATGGGAAGATTTTACTGCTGAAAATTATGAAGAGTATGAAGACCAGTTTAAACCATTTGAACAGTTTGGCTGTACAATGAAGTCGTATTTCAAAGGTACCATCATTCGTTTACCATTGAGACTTAAAAAAAGTGAAATAAAAGAAAGACCGGTGTCCCTCGAAGAATGTAAAAAAATTCTTGAAGAATTTTACAATGAAATGTTAGAAATCCCAATCTTTCTTAAAGTAATATCATCTATTACTCTTGAGAGAAGCTCTAGTTTTATTTTTAAGGTTCGAGTTAAAAACCATGACCAAGTTCAAAATGAAAGAAAAAAAGTTAGTGAAAATTTAAAAACAATTGTAAACAATGAAATGATTGATAAAACTGACAATTATGAATTCAACACAATTATATCAAAAAAAAATCAAAATGATTTTAAATCAACATATCAACTTGAAATGGAAACAACATTAAATAATAATGGTGTAATCAAAACAAATGAAATCAGTTTCATAGTATCACAAGGTATATTGGTTTCAAATGAACTCAACTCTCTTGTAATTGACTCAGAGATCAAATTAGTATCGTATGGAGGTGTTGCAATTCCAATTACAAATAATAATGGCACTATTGAAGTATATGATGAAGAGTTTCAAGGTAAACCATTCTGCTTTTTACCAATAGGCAATCAAAAAATCAGTTCAAAGGCTCATGTATTTGGATACTATATTCTTTCTGATGCTCGTTCTGAAATTCAATACACAGGTCAATCAAATCTTGTAAGCACTCAAGAGTACAAAATCAATAAATGGAATCACTTTGTCTCAGAATCAGTTGTTCCATTTTTTTATAAAGAAGCACTAAATTACATGACCAAATTCAATATCGATCTAATATCATATTTCCCATACCACTGTCTTGTAAACAAGTCAAGTAACTCATCAGCCGAAATTGACTTTTCAACCAATACAATGAAGCATGTAATGGAGGGAAATTATTTTTTAAATTATTTTAATAGAACGGGGTCGCAATATAATTCTTATAATGGCTCGGTTATTGTTGAAGAAAATACTAAATCTTTTGTTTTAGACTATTTAAGGGAATCAAATTATCAAACAATACTTTTGAATAACCTTTTCATCAGCTATCTCAAAAATAATGGATTTAATACAAGTTGTATAATTTCTCCAAATTTTCTATGTTCATTGTTATCAAAGAATCAACTTACTGAATATTCTGAAGATATTCTAGACTATATTTGTTCAAATGATTCAGTAATTACAAATAGACTTTTAAACAATCTACAAATTCTTCCTATAAACCATTCAAACATTAGAAAATTGGACTCATTACAAGAAAAAAAACCCATCTACTTTTCTAAATATGATTTTATTATAGTTTCAAATAATATATATCAACTATTAAATAACATTGGCGCAAATTTAGATTATATTCTTGACATCTCACTGATTAGTAAAACATTTTGTGAAAAGATAGACCTTATCAAGAAATCATATCACAATATTAAATCAATCGATATTTATTCATTTTTAAATAAAATAAATATGGTTGCAGATAGAGAAACCAATTATTCAAAAGAAATTTGGGAGGTTATTAGAAGTTTATATGATTTTAATGATGCTTCAATAAATAAATCAATATCAAAATTACATATTTTCCCATACAAGGAGGGTCAATTATCAAAATTTGGTTTTTCCAATATCAAATATATTAACTTTAACCACCCAAGGGTTTTTCCAAAATCAAACTCAATATTTTCTGAAAACAATAGAATTATTTTCGAAAAATTAAAAATTATTTTTGTTGAAAATGAAAACTGTATTGTTCAAATGTTTTTATCAAATTATTGCCATTCAAAGAGTTTCATTGATAAATTGTATCTAGAAATTGGAAAACATGATTCATTCGAGCAAATACTTTTACCCGATGAGATATCATCCCTCAGAAAATACTTGTACAATTTAGCGAATCAAAATGGTTTTACAAAATGGAGCAACACTAATAAGAATTTGTTTTTTTCAATGCCAATTCATGAATGTATTGGTAATTCAAATAAAAAATTCACATTCATTTCAAACCAATCCACATGCATTAAGTTTTCAGATATTAAAGATTATGAAATCAATGGCAAAGAAGTTGTTTTAATAAATAGCAATGAATATGATGGTATTCCATTACCAACTAATTCAATTTATAAAAATAATTTTTTAGTTTATTTAAACTATCTTTTACCAAACCTGCAATATTTTTCAGAAGAAAAATCCATTCAAGTTATTAAAACATTTGGAAACAAATACTTATATAGGTCAAGTTATGGAACATATAATAATTCCGGAGTAATATATACACCAGGCTCCGATAGTATCTACTCAAATGAACTTTATAAATCAAATTGGATATTAACATCGAGTAGTCAATATATTAATTTAAAAAACGTGTACCATCTTTCAAAAAAAGATATTGAAATATATGAAATTATCAAACCAGAACTTGTAATCCATAAAGAGATATACTTTATTTCAGAGATTTTATTAAATCTACAATTAATTAAGAATATTACTATTTGCCAAACTATTAACTCAATTATAGAATTCCTTCAAAGTAACCCTTGTGATCAAAAACTATACGATTTATTGTTAATATACTTTAATCAAATTGATCCATCCCAAGCAAACGGTACATTAGATAGAATCAGAAATATTAATTTCATTCCAAGCTATATTGTAGAAACATATCCAGGTTTTGAACCAAATACATCAACCATTTCACTCTCAGAAGTTACTATTTTAGAACATAAAGATATCAAGTTTTCAATAAAATATCCAATCAAATTTGAAAATAAATCAAACATTTACAATTATTTAAAAGATGACAGCCAATCAGTTTTCGATCATTGGTATACATTATTAATAAAAAAACCTTTTCCAAAGGATTTAAATTTAGATATAGTTTTCAAATCAATTTATAAATTTGTTTCAAAAATTAAAGAATTGTCACCACAACAAGAGCAAGTATTAAAACAAATTAAAGAATATGGTATATTATGGCACATGAATCAATTTATCAATATTGAAAAATTGTACTACGAAGGTGAAAATGTAGTTTTCTCTCCATTTTATTACAAAGTTAATCCATCAGTTTTTCCAATTTTTAAAAAAATAATAAAGGAAAATTTATACTTAGAAGATTATTACAATATAATTTCAGAAATTCAAAAGCAAGAAATAACTCAAGATTTAATTCAAATGTATTGTTATTGCTTAAGGTTTATTTCAAATTTCAATAGCGATGACATAAACAAAGATAGAATTAAGCTTTTACCAACTATAGAAAACCAATTAATTGAGTTTGATAAAGTTGTATTCTCTGAAACTGCTATTCCAGAAAGTATAGATTATCATCAATTAAATAAACTTATTGCACTATTAACAGTAGATAAATTAAAAATATCAAAACTATCGCAAATTATACAAGAAGAGGTTGCATGTTCTTTTGGTCAAAAAGAAGAATTGGTTCCACGTTTACAAAGCCTTATTAAAGATTATGGAGTTCAAAGTTTTTTCAATGAAATGATTCAAGTAGGTATCTTTTAAATTAAAATATTAATAGTAAACTTTGGAAATCATTTTCTTATTATTTTTTTTAAATTTATCTTTATTTTAATAGAATTCCAGTGATTCCAATGCAACTGAATTTAAAATATTTATGGATCAAAATAGTTATAAAAGTGAATATATAAAAAAAGAAGATGTTCCAGATATTGAAAATTATCTTTCCAATTCTTTAGTTATTTATAATAACTCAATATTTACAGATCGAGATATTGAAAATGTTCAAACAATAAGTTCATCATACAAAAAACAAGACCAATCAACAATTGGTTTCAATGGTTTAGGTATTAACTCAGCATACAACTTTTCTAATGTTATTACAATTTTATCTGGAAAGTATTTAATGATATTAGATCCATTTATTAGCCATATTCCAGTATCTAGGAGTAGATCAACAGGTGCAAAACTTGAAATTAAAAAACACTTTAATGTAAAAAAAGATTATTTCAAACCATTTTTAAATTACAAAAAACTATTCAATATTGATTTCGATCAAGGAGAATTTAAAGGAACCATTATTAGATTACGTAAGAATTATTATAGATTTATTATATATTAATTTTTTATTATTTTATATTTACTTACATATTTTTTACATTATAAATATAGCATTAAAAAAAAACTTAAATAAACATAGGAATATTAAAAATGTAGAGTTTAATACTCAAAGTATTTTAGATCTCTTTTCAAATTTTAATCAGAACCAACTTCACAACTTTATGTTTTTCACAAAGATTAGTGAAATTGAAATCGGCTATTTAACAAATAAATATGAATCATTATATAAAACAACTAAACTATCGGTAAAGAGTCTCATACAAAGAGAAACACATAAATTATTAGATGTCATTCCAATGGATATAACAGAATATACTTATGAAGTAATAAATAAAAAAGAAAAGGAAACTAAGAGATTCATAGTAGGTTCATCAACTGTATTTGAAAACAATGAGGAGTTTTTAAATAATCTACCAAAAGACAATAAAATAAGAAAGTTCCTCACAATGTATACCGAAGAAAAGAGAAAACCTTACGGTGGTATTGCATTTGAAATATCGGATGTAGATGGATCTTTTATAAAACAAAAATCGAAATCATTTTGTTACCTTCCATTCGAAGATAGTGACCTACCAATCCATGTTAATGGTTTCTTTTCAATGACCACAGCAAGAGATATATTGGAAAAAGAAAGAGCTATGAATATTCAAATGAATGAAGATCCATTGGAAAAAGTCGTCAGTAAAACTACACAAAGTCTAGAGTCATTCTCTATTTACTGGAACAACTTATTAATTGAAGAACTTATTACTCCAATCTTTATCAAAACATTATTATTATACAAAGAAGATTATATTTTAGGTAGAGAGCACCCAGATAAAAATACATACATGAATCTAACCGAAAGATATTATCAAATTTTCCCAGAAAATCAAACAAATAGTAGTACAATTTTTCAAAAGTTTATCCACAAGTTCTATCAAATTTCAATTGAACACCAATTTGACTATTTTATACCTCATCCAAACTATTGTTCAAGAAAAAGTTCAGTTAAATTTTTATGTTTAATTGATAGTGATCAGAAACCACCAATGTCCACATTAAAATGTTTTTCAAATTATGGCGATATATATTTTATTCCAAAAAAACTCTGTAAACAATTAGAATTGGAACAAAATATAATGAAGCCACAGTTATTATCAAAAATAATACAAAACAAAACATTAGACAAAGAAATTTTAAATAATAATACCAGTTTAATTGAAATCATTGGATATTTAGGTCCAGAGCTATCAAATGGTTGCCAACTTTTAAAATTAAACAATGGTACTTTCGACTTTGTTAATAGAAAAAAAACTTTAAAGTTTAACCAAGAATATTATAACTTATTCAAAGATAACGTAAAGATCTCCAAAGATGAATTATATTTAGATAAAGAATTTTCAGAATTAGTTTTTTACAAAACTTCATCATGTCCAGGAGTTACCAAATTAAATCCAATCGAATTCTTTTTCGAAATTATTTTCCCAAATTACGAAAGTTTTACTTTAGAAGAAAATATTTCAATTTTAAACTTTTTTAGGGAATCTATATACAAAAATGGCAAATTTACACAATTGGTAAATAATCAATATGACAAGTTTAAAGGATCTAGATTAATTCCATGCAATTTTAAAGATATTCCCCAATTTCGATCAATTTCAGAATTATACAGCTTTCAATTTAAAGGAATCTTCGATTTACCTTTTCCATTAGAATGCTTCGATACCAAAGAATGGAATAAAGTATTTGAAAATTTTGGTATCAAAAACTATTTAGATAGAGAAAGTATTGAAAGAGAATTCAAAAAATTATCAATAGACTATGATAGTTTTAAAAAAGATTCAAAAAGTGCTAAAGATTCCAAATCAGAAGAAAAATTAGTAGAAAGATCAAAGTCTCTATGGGGTCTTCTAAAATCGAACCGTGATTTAATAAATTCATTCAGCGAAATATTTGATTACATAAAAGAACTTAATATCATACCAACTTCATCTATAGATTTAATTGGTGCCATACCAGATCCACCACTTTTGGGAACAATAGAGGAATGTTTTTTTGTCCAAAAACATAAAAATCTTCTCTTTACAATTAAATACCAATGCTCAGAACAAATCAATCCCCCAAATAATTATATCCAAATAACAAATGAAATAGTTTTTAAAAATTTATTCAATATATTTCAAGGTCAAAACAATTGGAAAAATAATGATAATCATATATTTGATGATAAACTATTCAACCTCTTAAAAGAAAATTGTCAATATTTAGAAGATCAATTGATAGGTGGTAATCAAATTAAAAATATCAATGAATACCAAATTGAAAGATTACCAATTCAAAATTCAAATTTATCAGTAGAATTCGAAAATATTATTTTTGAAAATTTACAATTAGAACCATTCTTTAAACCATTACCAAATTTTTATTCAATCTTCAGTAGTTTATTCACATTATTGGGTGTAAAAACAATTAATAATAAGCAAACAATAGTCAATAGATTAAAACAATTCCTCGACCATGACATTACAAGCCAAATGCAACCATTTAAAATAATAAATGGAATTTTATCGCCATATTATGATCAAACAGATAAAACAGTTCCAATTTTAACAAATATAAATTTTTTAAAACCATTATCGAAAGTAAGTTTATTCATTATTTTAATAAATATTATTATAGAATATAAACTAATACATTTTCAACAATTAGGTATTTTATATAGATAATCAAATGATCTTTAAAAGAATAAATATCGCTGATAAATTATGGGTTGCAAATGAAATATATAAAAATGAATTTGAAGCCTGGGGAATTCCAAAACTATCAACTCTAGTTAACGAAGAAATTAATAAAGAAATTTCAAAATTCAATCAAAATTTTGAATCATCAGAATTCAATATATTCAATTCTGGATTTTTAACAGATCCCGAACTTGTTACATTAATTTCAAATCATCCAAATAAGGAGAAATTTCAAAACATCACCATCAACTTTGGATCTATAATATTAAAAACAATTTTAAAAACAGATAACTCCAATATTTCAAATAATAAGAAAACAAAATATTTCTATGACCCTGGTACAAATAGCTTATACATTGATGAAGACAACGATCAACTATATTCTATTTTAGAAGAAATTTATAGGATCCAAAAAAATTCATTATGCAGTATCTTTAATAGAATTTTAGCAGAAGGAAATAAAAAAGAAACAAAAAAGAAAAAAGAAACTATTGAACAAATGTTTGATTTGGAAAAAGATAAAAAAACAAATGATTTAGAAAAAGATAAAAAAAAAACAAATCAAGAGTCTCTATTGTTTTATCAAATAGCTTTAAAAAAGAACCAGATAGCAACAAAAATGTACCAAAGCCAAGATTATGACGAAGTTTTTAAATATTGTAACAAATCTATTTCATTTTCAGTTAAAAGTATTTTAGAATATCAAGATATTCCATATAGTTCAATTTCTAAAACTAATAGATTAAAAGGGTTAACAAACAGTCTAAACTCACTAAGAGAGCTTACACTATTTGAAACCGATTTGAGTCGATTCAAAACATCATTATGCAGAGACTCTAATCAAGCAAACTCTTCTCAAATATTAGATTTATCAAACAATTATTTAAAAGAAGCAAAAAAAATAATCAATAATTAACAAAATATTATCAATAAAATATAAAATATTTCTTAACTAAACTTTTTTTTAAAAAAAATTATGATAATTTTTTTTTTTTTTAACAAAAATATAATTTTAATACGTAAATAGAAAATATCATACAGAAATAAATAAAATTTAAAAAATTTAATAAAGTTAAAAATTTAAAATAAATTTAACATAAAAGTAAAAATAATAAAAAAAAAAAAAAAATTTATTTTATCATTTTTGTTTGATACATTTTACAAAAACCATGTATTTTTTATAAAGATACATTCACATTTCCCCCCCCATAAAATTAGGGGAACTTAAAAATAAAAAAAAATTAATATTTAATTTTTTTTTTCACAGTTTTTTTTTTTTTTAAACACAGTTTTTTTTTTTGCAATAACCCATTTATTTTTTTTTCCACAAATTTTTTTTTTTTTAATTTTATTACTTTTTTATTTTTTAATTAATTTTTTTATATCAAATAACTTATTTAAATTTATTACAAATATAATATAATAAGGTATTTATTAGTGAATATTATATATTTCATTCCAATATTTCTGCAATGGTAATTAAACAAAGAAACCAAAAGTTAGATATAATCACAGGTATTAGGAACAATTTAGGTAAATATAAATTCATTAATCGATTTTTTATTTATAAATACTAATAATTTTATAGCTAAGTATCAAGAGTCTAAAATATTTAGAGAAATTGTTCAGAATGCTGAAGATGCTGGTGCAAATGAAGTCATCATTAAATTAGATTTAAATACCTATGGCTCTGAGAAATTATTTTTTAAAGAAGATGATGAATTCTATAACAACTTAAAGGATCTACAAGGACCAAGTATTATCATTTATAACAATGGTGTATTTAAAGATAGTGATTGGGAAGGTAAGTTTTATTTTAAAATTAATAATTATTATAAAAAAAATACAATAATAATAATAAAACATCATATAAATCAATAAAAATTTCTAAAATTTAGGTATTGAATATATCGGTGAAGGATCAAAAAAGAAAGATATGCTTTCAATTGGTAATTTTGGATTGGGATTCAATTCAACATACCATATTACTGATTGCCCTCAAATTATATCTGGAAAAAAGCTTTGGTTTTTAGATCCACACAAGCTAATTAAAGAGGGTATCGAATGTGCTGACTTTACTGCTGAAAACTATGAAGAGTATGAAGACCAGTTTAAACCATTTGAACAGTTTGGCTGTACAATGAAGTCGTATTTCGAAGGTACCATCATTCGTTTACCATTGAGACTAAGAGGAAACAAAATCAAAGAAAAACCACTGTCTATTGGGGATTGTAAAAAAATTCTTGAAGAATTTTACAATGAAATGTTAGAAATCCCAATCTTTCTTAAAGTAATATCATCTATTACTCTTGAGACAGGCTCTAATTTTATTTTTAAGGTTCGAGTTAAAAACCATGACCAAGTTCAAAATGAAAGAAAAAAAGTTAGTGAAAATTTAAAAACAATTGTAAACAATGAAATGATTGATAAAACTGACAATTATGAATTCAACACAATTATATCAAAAAAAAATCAAAATGATTTTAAATCAATATATCAACTTGAAATGGAAACATCATTAAATAATAATGGTGAAATCAAAACAAATGAAATCAGTTTCATTGTATCACAAGGTATATTGGTTTCAAATGAACTCAACTCTCTTGTAATTGACTCAGAGATCAAATTAGTATCTTATGGAGGTGTTGCAATTCCAATTACAAATAATAATGGCACTATTGAAGTATATGATAAAGAGTTTCAAGGTAAACCATTCTGCTTTTTACCAATAGGTAATCAAAAAATCAGTTCAAAGGCTCATGTATTTGGATACTATATTCTTTCTGATGCTCGTTCTGAAATTCAATACACAAGTCAATCAAATCTTGTATACACTCAAGAGTACAAAATCAATAAATGGAATCATTTTATCTCAGAATCAGTTGTTCCATTTTTTTATAAAGAAGCACTAAATTACATGACCAAATTCAATATCGATCTGGTATCATATTTCCCATACCACTGTCTTGTAAACAAGTCAAGTAACTCATCAGCCGAAATTGACTTTTCAACCAATACAATGAAGCATGTAATGGAGGGAAATTATTTTTTAAATTATTTTAATAGAACGGGGTCGCAATATAATTCTTATAATGGCTCGGTTATTGTTGAAGAAAATACTAAATCGTTTGTTTTAGACTATTTAAGGGAATCAAATTATCAAACAATACTTTTGAATAACCTTTTCATCAGCTATCTCAAAAATAATGGATTTAATACAAGTTGTATAATTTCTCCAAAGTTACTATGTTCATTGTTATCAAAGAATCAACTTACTGAATATTCTGAAGATATTCTAGACTATATTTGCTCATGTGATTTAGTAGTTACAAATGGATTTTTAAACAATCTACAAATTCTTCCTATAAACCATTCAAACATTAGAAAATTGGACTCATTACAAGAAAAAAAACCCATCTACTTTTCTAAATATGATTTTATTATAGTTTCAAATAATATATATCAACTATTAAATAACATTGGTGCAAATTTAGATTATATTCTTGACATCTCACTGCTTAGTAAAACATTTTGTGAAAAGATAGACCTTATCAAGAAATCATATCACAATATTAAATCAATCGATATTTATTCATTTTTAAATAAAATAAATATGGTTGCAGATAGAGAAACCAATTATTCAAAAGAAATTTGGGAGGTTATTAGAAGTTTATATTATTTTAATGATGCTTCAATAAATGAATCAATATCAAAATTACATATTTTTCCATACAAGGAGGGTCAATTATCAAAATTTGGTTTTTCCAATATCAAATATATTAACTTTAACCACCCAAGGGTTTTTCCAAAATCAAACTCAATATTTTCTGAAAACAATAGAATTATTTTCGAAAAATTAAAAATTATTTTTGTTGAAAATGAAAACTGTATTGTTCAAATGTTTTTATCAAATTATTGCCATTCAAAGAGTTTCATTGATAAATTGTATCTAGAAATTGGAAAACATGATTCATTCGAGCAAATACTTTTACCCGAAGAGATATCATCCCTCAGAAAATACTTGTACAATTTAGCGAATCAAAATGGTTTTACAAAATGGAGCAACACTAATAAGAATTTGTTTTTTTCAATGCCAATTCATGAATGTATTGGTAATTCAAATAAAAAATTCACATTCATTTCAAACCAATCCACATGCATTAAGTTTTCAGATATTAGAGATTATGAAATCAATGGCAAAGAAGTTGTTTTAATAAATAGCAATGAATATGATGGTATTCCATTACCAACTAATTCAATTTATAAAAATGACTTTTTGGTTTATTTAAACTATCTTTTACCAAACCTGCAATATTTTTCAGAAGAAAAATCCATTCAAGTTATTAAAACATTTGGAAACAAATACTTATATAGGTCAAGTTATGGAACATATAATAATTCCGGAGTAATATATACACCAGAGTCCGATGTTATCTACTCAAATGAACTTTATAAATCAAATTGGATATTAACATCGAGTAGTCGATATATTAATTTAAAAAACGTGTACCATCTTTCAAAAAAAGATATTGAAATATATGAAATTATCAAACCAGAACTTGTAATCCATAAAGAGATATACTTTATTTCAGACATTTTATTAAAACTACAATTAATTAATGATATTACTTTTAGCCAAACTATCGATTCAATTATAGAATTCCTCCAAAGTAACTCTTGTGATCAAAAACTTTTCGATTTATTGATAAAATACTTTAATCAAATTGATCCATTCAAAGCAAACGGTATGTTAGATAAAATCAAAAATATTAATTTCATTCCAAGCTCTATTGTAGAAACGTATCCAGGTTTTGAACCAAATACACCAACCATTTCACTCTCAGAAGTTACTATTTTAGAACATAAAGATATCAAGTTTTCAATAAAATATCCAATCAAATTTGAAAATAAATCAAACATTTACAATTATTTAAAAGATGACAGCCAATCAGTTTTCGATCATTGGTATACATTATTAATAAAAAAACCTTTTCCAAAGGATTTAAATTTAGATATAGTTTTCAAATCAATTTATAAATTTGTTTCAAAAATTAAAGAATTGTCACCACAACAAGAGCAAGTATTAAAACAAATTAAAGAATATGGTATATTATGGCACATAGATCAATTTATCAATATTGAAAAATTGTACTACAAAGGTGAAAATGTAGTTTTCTCTCCATTTTATTACAAAGTTGATCAATTAGCTTTTCCAATTTTTAAAGAAATAATAAAGGAAAATTTATACTTAGAAGATTATTACAATATAATTTCAGAAATTCAAAAGCAAGAAATAAATCAAGATTTAATTCAAATGTATTGTTATTGCTTAAGGTTAATTTCAAATTTCAATAGTGAGGACATAAACAAAGATAGAATTAAGCTTTTACCAACTATAGAAAACCAATTAATTGAGTTTGATAAAGTTGTATTCTCTGAAACTGCTATTCCAGAAAGTATGGATTATCATCAATTAAATAAACTTATTGACCTATTAACAGTAGAGAAATTAAAAATATCAAAACTATCGCAAATTATACAAGAAGAGGTTGCATGTTCTTTTGGTCAAAATGAAGAATTGGTTCCACGATTACAAGGCCTTATTAAAGATTATGGAGTACAAAGTTTTTTCAATGAAATGATTCAAGTAGGTATCTTTTAAATTAAAATATCAGTAATAAACTTTGAAAATCATTTTCTAATTATTTTTTAAAATTTATCTTTATTTTAATAGAATGCCAGTGATGCCAATGCATCTGAAGTTAAAATATTTATGGATCAAAATAGTTATAAAAGTGAATATATAAAAAAAGAAGATGTTCCAGATATTGAAAATTATCTTTCCAATTCTTTAGTTATTTATAATAACTCAATATTTACAGATCAAGATATTGAAAATGTTCAAAGAATTAGTTCATCATACAAAAAACAAGATGAATCAAAAATTGGTTTCAATGGTTTAGGTATTAACTCAGCATACAACTTTTCTAATGTTATTACAATTTTATCTGGAAAGTATTTAATGATATTAGATCCATTGGTTAGCCATATTCCAGAGTCAATTAAAAAAGCAACAGGTGCCAAACTTGAAATTAAAAAACACTTTAATGTAAAAAAAGATTATTTCAAACCATTTTTAATATACAAAAAACTATTCAATATTGATTTCGATCAAGGAGAATTTAAAGGAACCATTATTAGATTACGTAAGAATTATTATTAATTTAATTTTATAAAACTTATTTTAAATAACACATTTTTTACTTTATAAATATAGCATTAAAAAAAAATCTATATAAACATAGGAGTATTAAAAATGTAGAGTTTAATACTCAAAGTATTTTAGAACTCTTTTCAAATTTTAATCAGAACAAACCTCACAATTGTATGCTTTTCACAAAAATTAATGAAATTGAAATCGGCTTTTTAACAAATAAATATGAATCATTATATAAAACAACTAAACTATCGGTAAAGAGTCTCATACAAAGAGAAACACATAAATTATTAGATTGTATTCCAATGGATATAACAGAACATACTTATGAAGTAATAAATAAAACACAAAAGGAAACAAAGATATTCATAATTGGTTCAACAACTGTATTTGAAAACAATGAAGAGTTTTTAAATAATTTACCAAAAGACAATAAAATAAGAAAGTTCCTCACAATGTATACCGAAGAAAAGAGAAAACCTTACGGTGGTATTGCATTTGAAATATCGGATGTAAATGGATCTTATATAAAACAAAAATCAAAATCATTTTGTTACCTTCCATTCGAAGATATTGACCTACCAATCCATGTTAATGGTTTCTTTTCAATGACAACAGCAAGAGATATATTGGAAAAAGAAAGAGCTATGAATTATCAAATGAATGAAGATCCATTGGAAAAAGTCGTCAGTAAAACTACACAAAGTCTAGAGTCATTCTCTATTTACTGGAACAACTTATTAATTGAAGAACTTATTACTCCAATCTTTATCAAAACATTATTATTATACAAAGAAGATTATATTTTAGGTAGAGAATACCCAGATAAAAATACATACATGAAGTTAACCAAAAAATATTATGAAATTTTCCCAAAAAATCAAACATATAGTAGTACAATCTTCCAAAAGTTTATCCATAAGTTCTATCAAATTTCAATTGAACACCAATTTGACTATTTTATTCCTCATCCTAATTATTGTTCAAGAAAAAGTCCAATTAAATTTTTATTATTAATTGATAGTGATCAAAAACTATCAATGTCTACATTAAAATGTTTTTCAAATTATGGCGATATATATTTTATTCCAGAAGAACTCTGTGAACAACTAAAATTGGAACAAAATATAATGGAGCCACAGTTATTATCAAAAATAATACAAAACAAAACATTAGACAAAGATATTTTAAATAATAATACCAGTTTAATTGAAATCATTGAATATTTAGGTCCAGAGCTATCAAATGGTTGCCAACTTTTAAAATTAAACAATGGTACTTTCGACTTTGTTAATAGAAAAACAACTTTAAAGTTTAACCAAGAATATTATAACTTAGTCAAAGACAACGTAAAGATCTCTAAAGATGAATTATTTTTAGATAAAGAATTTTCAGAAATGGCTTTCGATAACAAAACCAATCCAACTTCATGCCCAGGAGTTACCAAATTAAAGCCAATCGAATTCTTTTTCGAAATTATTTTCCCAAATTATGAAAGTTTTACTTTAGAAGAAAATATTTCAATTTTAAACTTTTTAAAGAAATCTTTTTTCAAAAATGACAAATTTACACAAAAATTGGAAGAAGATCAATATGATAAATTTAAAAAATATAAATTAATTCCATGCAATTTTAAAGATATTCCCCAACTTCGATCAATTTCAGAATTATACAGCTTTCAATTTAAAGGAATCTTCGATTTACCTTTTCCATTAAATTGCTTCAATTCCAAAGAATGGAATAGTGTATTTGAAAATTTTGGTATCAAAAACTATCTAGATAAAGAAAGTATTGAAAGAGAATTCAAGAGATTGTCAAAAGACTTTTATTTAAAAAATTCAAATGATTCCCAATCAGAAAAAAAATTAGTAGAAAGATCAAAAATGTTATGGACTCTTTTAAAATCTAACATAGATTTAATAGAATCATATAACGAAATTTGTGATAACATAAAAGAACTTAATATCATCCCTACTTCATCTTTAAATTTAATTGATGCCAAACCAAATCCACCTCTTTTGGGAAGAATAAAGAAATGTTTTTTTAACCAAAAATATAAAAATCTTCTCTTTACAATTAAATATCAATGTTCAGAACCAATCGATATCCCAGATAATGATAATTATATACAAATAACAAATGAAATGGTTTTTAAAAATTTATTCAAAATACTTCAAGGTCAAAACAATTGGAGAAATAATAATCATATATTTGATAATAGACTATTCAACCTCTTAAAAGAAAATTGTCAATATTTAGAAAATCAGTTGATACGTGGTTATCAAATTAAAAATATCAATGAGTACCAAATTGAAAGATTACCAATTCAAAATTCAAATTTATCAATAGAATTCGAAAATATTATTTTTGAAAATAATTTTGAACTAGAACCATTCTTTAAACCATTACCAAATTTTTATTCAACCTTCCATAATTTATTCACATTATTGGGTGTAAAAACAATTAATAATAAGCAAACAATAGTCAATAGATTAGAACAATTCCTCCACCATGACATTACAAACGAAATTCAATCATTTAAAAAAATATTGGGAATTTTGTCGCCATTATATGATCAAACAGATAAAACAGTTCCAATTTTAACAAATATAAATTTTTTAAAACCATTATCAGAAGTAAGTTTATTTAATTAATAAGAAATTTTATATATAATAAACTAATACCTTTTCTACTATTAGGTATTTTATATTGATAATCAAATGATCTTTGATAGAATAAATATTGCAGGTAGACTATGGGTTGCAAGTGAAATATACAATAATTTCGATGCCTGGGGAATTCCTAAACTATCAACTCTAGTAAACGAAGAAATTAATAAAGAAACTTCAAAATTCAATCAAAATTTTGAATCATCAGAATTCAATATATTCAATTCTGGATTTTTAACAGATCCCGAACTTGTTTCATTAATTTCAAATCATCCAAATAAAATGAAATTACAAAATATCACTATCAACTTTGGATCTATAATCTTAAAAACAATTTTAAAAACAGATAACTCCAATATTTCAAATAATAAGAAAACAAAATATTTCTATGACCCTGGTACAAATATCTTATACATTGATGAAGCCAACAATCAACTATATTCTATTTTAGAAGAAATTTATAGGATCCAAAAAAATTCATTATGCAGTATCTTTAATAGAATTTTAGCAGAAGGAAATAAAGACGAAACAAAAAAGAAAAATGAAACTTTTGAAAAAATATTAAAAACAAACATATTAAATGTTTCAGAAAAAGATAAAAAAAAAATAAATCAAAAATCACTATTATTTTTTCAAATAGCTTTAAAAAAGAATCAGATAGCAACAAAAATGTACCAAAGCCAAGATTATGACGAAGTTTTTAAATACTGTAACAAATCTATTTCATTTTCAGTTAAAAGTATTTTAGAATATCAAGATATTCCATATAGTTCAATTTCTAAAACTAATAGATTAAAAGGGTTAACAAACAGTCTAAACTCACTAAGAGAGCTTACACTATTTGAAACCGATTTGAATCAATTCAAAACATCATTATGCAGAGTCTCTAATCAAGTAAACTCTTCTCAAATATTAGATTTATCAAACAATTATTTAAAAGAAGCAGAAAAAATAATCAATAATTAACAAAATATTATCAATAAAATATAAAACTTTTTTTAATTAATTTTTTTGAAGTTAAAAATTTAACATAGAATTTGTTTTTTTTTTTTATCATTTTCAGAACCATGTATTTTTATAAAGAGAATTTTTCCCCCTCACCCCCACCAAAATTAAGGAACTTAAAAATTAAAATTAATTTTTTATTTTTTTTTTACAATCCACTTTTTTTTTTAATTTTTATTACTTTATTTTTTATAAATTTTTTATATCAAATAGCTTATTTAAATTTATTACAATAATACATAATTTTTTTATGTTTTATATTATTTTAAAGTATCTATTAGTGAATATTATATATTACATATCAATATTTCTTCAATGGTAATAAAACAAAGAAACCAAAAGTTAGATATAACTACAGGTATTAGGAACAATTTAGGTAAATATAAAATAAAATTCATTAATCAATTTTTTATTTATAAATACTAATAATTTTATTTCTATAGCTAAGTATCAAGAGTCTAAAATATTTAGAGAGATTGTTCAAAATGCTGAAGATGCTGGTGCAAATGAAGTCATCATTAAATTAGATTTAAATACCTATGGCTCTGAGAAATTATTTTTTAAAGAAGATGATGAATTCTATAACAACTTAAAGGATCTACAAGGACCAAGTATTATCATTTATAACAATGGTGTATTTAAAGATAGTGATTGGGAAGGTAAGTTTTATTTTAAAATATTTCAATAATAAAACACCATGTAATTTTAATCAATATTAATTCTAAAAATTATTATTATTTTTGAAAAATTCTAAAATATAGGTATTGAATATATCGGTGAAGGATCAAAAAAGAAAGATATGCTTTCAATTGGTAATTTTGGATTGGGATTCAATTCAACATACCATATTACTGATTGTCCTCAAATTATTTCTGGAAAAAAGCTTTGGTTTTTAGATCCAGTCAAGCTAATTAAAGAGGGTATCGAATGTGCTGACTTTACTGCTGAAAACTATGAAGAGTATGAAGATCAGTTTAAACCATTTGAACAGTTTGGCTGTACAATGAAGTCATTTTTCGAAGGTACCATCATTCGTTTACCATTGAGACTAAGAGGAAATAAAATCAAAGAAAAACCACTGTCTATTTGGGATTGTGAAAAAATTCTTGAAGAATTTTACAATGAAATGTTAGAAATTCCAATCTTTCTTAAAGTAATATCATCTATTACTCTTGAGACAAGTTCAAATTTTATTTTTAAAGTTCAAGTTAAAAACCATGATCAAGTTCAAAATGAAAGAAAAAAAGTTAGTGAACATTTAAAAACAATTGTAAACTATGAAATGAAAGATAAAACTGACAATTATGAATTCAACACAATTATATCAAAAAAAAATCAAAATGATTTTAAATCAACATATCAACTTGAAATGGAAACAACATTAAATAATAATGGTGTAATCAAAACAAATGAAATCAGTTTCATTGTATCACAAGGTATATTGGTTTCAAATGAACTCAACTCTCTTGTAATTGACTCAGAGATCAAATTAGTATCGTATGGAGGTGTTGCAATTCCAATCACAAATAATAATGGCACTATCGAAGTATATGATGAAGAGTTTCAAGGTAAACCATTCTGCTTTTTACCAATAGGCAATCAAAAAATCAGTTCAAAGGCTCATGTATTTGGATACTATATTCTTTCTGATGCTCGTTCTGAAATTCAATACACAAGTCAATCAAATCTTGTATACAGTCAAGAGTATAAAATCAATAAATGGAATCATTTTATCTCAGAATCAGTTGTTCCATTTTTTTATAAAGAAGCACTAAATTACATGACCAAATTCAATATCGATCTAATATCATATTTCCCATACCACTGTCTTGTAAACAAGTCAAGTAACTCATCAGCCGAAATTGACTTTTCAACCAATACAATGAAGCATGTAATGGAGGGATATTATTTTATAAAATATTTTAAAATTACGGGGTCGCAGTATAATTCTTATAGTGGCTCGGTTATTGTTGAAGAAAATACTAAATCTTTTGTTTTAGACTATTTAAAAAAATCAAATTATCAAACAATACTTTTGAATAACCTATTCATCGGCTATCTCAAAAATAATGGATTTAATACAAGTTGTATAATTTCTCCAAATTTTCTATGTTCATTGTTATCAAAGATTCAACTTACTGAATATTCTGAAGATATTCTAGACTATATTTGCTCATGTGATTCAGTAATTACAAATGGACTTTTAAACAATCTACAAATTCTTCCTATAAATTTTTCATACATTAGAAACTTGGACTCATTAAAAGTACAAAACTTCAACAGTTTTTCTTCTCCAAATAGTTTTATTATAGTTTCAAATAAAATATATCAACTATTAAATAACATTGGCGCAAATTTAGATTATATTCTTGACATCTCACTGATTAGTAAAACATTTTGTGAAAAGATAGCTCTTATTGAGAAATTATATTGCAATATTAAATCAATCGATATAAATTTATTTTTAAATAAAATAAATATGGTTGCAGCTAGAGAAAACAATTATTCAAAAGAAATTTGGGAAATAATTAAAAGTTTATATTATTTTAATGATGCTTCAATAAATAAATCAATATCAAAATTACATATTTTTCCATACAAGGAGAGTCAATTATCAGCAATCAAATATATAAACTTTGATCACCCAAAGGTTTTTCCAAAATTTAATCCAATATTTTCTGAAAACAATATAATTATTTACGAAAAATTAAAAATTATTTTTGTTGAAAATGAAGAGAATGTTCAAAATTTTTTATCAAATTATTGCCGTTCAAATAATTTCATTGATAAATTGTATCTAGAAATTGGAAAACATGGTTATTTGGAGCAAATACTTTTACCCGAAGAGATATCATCCCTCAGAAAATACTTGTACAATTTAGCGAATCAAAATGGTTTTGTTTCATGGAGCAACACTAATAATAATTTGTTTTTTTCAATGCCAATTCATGAATGTATTGGTAATTCAAATAAAAAATTCACATTCATTTCAAACCAATCCACATGCATTAAGTTTTCAGATATTAGAGATTATGAAATCAATGGCAAAGAAGTTGTTTTAATAAATAGCAATGAATATGATGGTATTCCATTACCAACTAATTCAATTTATAAAAATGACTTTTTGGTTTATTTAAACTATCTTTTACCAAACCTGCAATATTTTTCAGAAGAAAAATCCATTCAAGTTATTAAAACATTTGGAAACAAATACTTATATAGGTCAAGTTATGGAACATACGGAGTAATATATACACCAGGCTCCGATAGTATCTACTCAAATGAACTTTATAAATCAAATTGGATATTAACATCGAGTAGTCAATATATTAATTTAAAAAACGTGTACCATCTTTCAAATAAAGATATTGAAATATATGAAATTATCAAACCAGAACTTGTAATCCATAAAGAGATATACTTTATTTCAGAGATTTTATTAAATCTACAATTAATTAAGAATATTACTATTTGCCAAACTATTAACTCAATTATAGAATTCTTTCAAAGTAACCCTTGTGATCAAAAACTATACGATTTATTGTTAATATACTTTAATCAAATTGATCCATCCCAAGCAAACGGTGTATTAGATAGAATCAGAAATATTAATTTCATTCCAAGCTATATTGTAGAAACATATCCAGGTTTTGAACCAAATACATCAACCATTTCACTCTCAGAAGTTACTATTTTAGAACATAAAGATATCAAGTTTTCAATAAAATATCCAATCAAATTTGAAAATAAATCAAACATTTACAATTATTTAAAAGATGACAGCCAATCAGTTTTCGATCATTGGTATAAATTATTAATAAAAAAACCTTTTCCAAAGGATTTAAATTTAGATATAGTTTTCAAATCAATTTATAAATTTGTTTCAAAAATTAAAGAATTGTCACCACAACAAGAGCAAGTATTAGATCAGATTGAAGAATATGGTATATTATGGCACATGAATCAATTTATCGATATTGAAAAATTGTACTACGAAGGTGAAAATGTAGTTTTCTCTCCATTTTATTACAAAGTTAATCCATCAGTTTTTCCAATTTTTAAAAAAATAATAAAGAAAAATTTACACTTAGAAGATTATTACAATATAATTTCAGAAATTCAAAAGCAAGAAATAAATCAAGATTTAATTCAAATGTATTGTTATTGCTTAAGGTTTATTTCTAATTTCAATAGCGAGGACATAAACAAAGATAAAATTAAGCTTTTACCAACTGAAGAAAACCAATTAATTGAGTTTGATAAAGTTGTATTCTCTGAAACTGTTATTCCACAAAGTATGGATTATCATCAATTAAGTAAACTTATTGGACTATTAACAGTAGAGAAATTAGAAATATCAAAACTATCGCAAATTATACAAGAAGAGGTTGCATGTTCTTTTGGTCAAAATGAAGAATTGGTTCCACGTTTACAAAGCCTTATTAAAGATTATGGAGTACAAAGTTTTTTCAATGAAATGATTCAAGTAGGTATCTTTTAAATTAAAATATTAATACTTTGGAAATCATTTTCTAATTATTTTTTAAACTTTATCTTTTTTTTAGAATGCCAGCGATGCCAATGCAACTGAAGTTAAAATATTTATGGATCAAAATGGTGATAAAAGTGAATATATAAAAGATGTTCCAGATATTGATAATTATCTATCCAACTCATTAGTTATTTATAATAACTCAATATTTACAGATCAAGATATTGAAAATATTCAAAGAATTAGTTCATCATACAAAAAACAAGATGAATCAAAAATTGGTTTCAATGGTTTAGGTATTAACTCAGCATACAACTTTTCGAATGTTATTACAATTTTATCTGGAAAGTATTTAATGATATTAGATCCATTTGTTAGACATATTCCAGAGTCAATTAAAAAATCAACAGGTGCCAAACTTGAAATTAAAAAACACTTTAATGTAAAAAAAGATTATTTCAAACCATTTTTAAATTACAAAAAACTATTCAATATTGATTTCGATCAAGGAGAATTTAAAGGAACCATTATTAGATTACGTAAGAATTATTATTAATTTAATGTTATATAACTCTTATTTAACTAACACATTTTTTACTTTATAAATATAGCACTAAAAAAAAATCCAGATAAAAATAGGAATATTAAAAATGTAGAATATAATACTCAAAGTATTTTAGAACTCTTTTCAAATTTTAATCAGAACAAACTTCACAACTGCATGCTTTTCACAAAAATTAATGAAATTGAAATCGGCTATTTAACAAATAAATATGAATCATTATATAAAACAACTAAACAATCTGTAAAGAGTCTCATACAAAGAGAAACACATAAATTATTAGATGTCATTCCAATGGATATAACAGAACATACTTATGAAGTAATAAATAAAAAAGAAAAGGAAACAAATATATTCATAGTAGGTTCAACATCTGTATTTGAAAACAATGAAGACTTTTTAAATAATTTACCAATTGACAATAAAATAAGAAAGTTCCTCACAATGTATACCGAAGAAAAGAGAAAACCTTATGGTGGTATTGCATTTGAAATATCAGATGTAGATGGATCTTTTATAAAACAAAAATCGAAATCATTTTGTTACCTTCCATTCAAAGATAGTGACCTACCAATCCATGTTAATGGTTTCTTTTCAATGACTACAGCAAGAGATATATTGGAAAAAGAAAGAGCTATGAATTATCAAATGAATGAAGATCCATTGGAAAAAGTCGTCAGTAAAGCTATACAAAGTCTTGAGTCATTCTCTATTTACTGGAACACCTTATTAATTGAAGAACTTATTACTCCAATCTTTATCAAGACATTATTATTATACAAAGAAGATTATATTTTAGGTAGAGAATACCCAGATAAAAATACATACATGGAGTTAATCAATAAATATTATCAAATTTTCCCAGAAAGTCAAACAAATAGTAGTACAATCTTTCAAAATTTTATCCACAAGTTCTATAAAATTTCAATTGAACACCAATTTGACTATATTATACCTCATCCAAACTATTTTTCTAGAAGTCTAATTAAATTTTTATTATTAATTGATAGTGATCAAAAACTATCAATGTCTACATTAAAATGTTTTTCAAATTATGGCGATATATATTTTATTCCAAAAGAACTCTGTAAACAATTAGAATTGGAACAAAATATAATGGAGCCACAGTTATTATCAATAATAATACAAAACAAAACATTGGACAAAGATATTTTAAATAATAATACCAGTTTAATTGAAATCATTAGATATTTAGGTCCAGATCTATCAAATGGTTGCCAACTTTTAAAATTAAACAATGGTACTTTCGACTTTGTTAATAGAAAAACAACTTTAAAGTTTAACCAAGAATATTATAACTTAGTCAAAGACAACGTAAAGATCTCCAAAGATGAATTATTTTTAGATAAAGAATTTTCAGAAATGGCTTTCGATAACAAAAACAATCCAATTTCAAAATTAGTGTTCGATAAAGAAACTATTCCAACTTCGTCATGCCCAGGAGTTACCGAATTAAATCCAATACAATTCTTTTTCGAAATTATTTTCCCAAATTATGAAAGTTTTTCTTTAGAAGAAAATATTTCAATTTTAAACTTTTTAAAGAAATCTATTTACAACAATGGCAAATTTACACCACAATTGGAATACGATCAATATGATCAATTAAAGAAATATAACTTAATTCCATGCAATTTTAAAGATATTACCCAACTTAGACCAATTTCAGAATTATACAGCTTTCAATTTAAAGGAATCTTCGATTTACCTTTTCCATTAGATTGCTTTAATACCAAAGAATGGGAAAGTGTATTTAAACATTTCGGTATCAAAGACAATTTAGATAGAGAAAGTATTGAAAGAGAATTCAAAAGATTGTCAAAAGACTTTTATGATTTAAAAGATTCAAAAGATTCCCAATCAGAAAAGAATTTAGTAGAAAGATCTAAAATGTTATGGAGACTTCTAAAATCTGGCTTCACTTTACAATCATATGACAAAATTTGGGATAATATAATAGAACTTAATATCATCCCTACTTCATCTTTAGATTTAATTGGTGCCAAACCAAATCCACCTCTTTTGGGAAGAATAAAGAAATGTTTTTTTGACCAAAAATATAAAAATCTTCTCTTTACAATTAAATACCAATGTTCAGAACCAATCAATATCCCAAATAATGATAATTATATCCAAATAACAAATGAAAAAGTTTTTAAAAATTTATTCAATATATTTCAAGGTCAAAACAATTGGAGAAATAATGATAATGAACTATTCAACCTCTTAAAAGAAAATTGTCAATATTTAGAAAATCAATTAATAAATGATAAAGAAATTAAAAATTTCAAGAAATTCAAAATTAAAAGATTACCAATTCAAAATTCAAATTTATCAGTAGAATTCGAAAATATTATTTTTGATAATGATTTGGAACTAGAACCATTCTTTAAACCTTTACCAAATTTTTATTCAATCTTCCGTAGTTTATTCACATTATTGGGTGTAAAAACACTTAATAACAAACAAACAATAGTCAATAGATTAGAACAATTCCTCCACCAAGATATTACAAACGAAATTCAATCATTTGTAAATATAAAGAGAATTTTGTCGCAATTTAATAATCAAATAGATAAAACAGATCCAATTTTAACAAATATAAATTTTTTAAAACCATTATCAGAAGTAATTTTATTTAAATTATTATAATTAATATTATATAATATTAACAAATACCTTTTCTACTATTAGGTATTTTATATAGATAATCAAATGATTTTTGAAAGAATAAATATTACAGGTAAACTATGGGTTGCAAATGAAATATACAATTATGATTTTGAAGCTTGGGGAATTCCAAAACTATCGACTCTAGTTAAAGAAGAAATAAATAGAGAAATTTCAAAATTCAATCAAAATTTTGAATCACCAGAATTTAATATATTCAATTTTGAATTTTTAACAGACCCTAAACTTGTTTTATTGATTTCAAATCATCCAAATAAAATGAAATTACAAAATATCACTATCAACTTTGGATCTATAATCTTAAAAACAATTTTAAAAACAGATAACTCCAATATTTCAAATAATAAGAAAACAAAATATTTCTATGACCCTGTTACAAATATCTTATACATTGATGAAGCCAACGATCAACTATATTCTATTTTAGAAGAAATCTATGGGTTTAAACAAAACTCATTATGCAGTATCTTTAATAGAATTTTAGCAGAAGGAAATAAAAAAGAAACAAAAAAGAAAAATGAAACTTTTGAAAAAATGTTAAATGATTTTAATATATATAAAGATAAAAAATCACTAATATTATATCAAATAGCTTTAAAAAAGAACCAGATAGCAACAAAAATGTACCAAAGCCAAGATTATGACGAAGTTTTTAAATACTGTAACAAATCTATTTCATTTTCAGTTAAAAGTATTTTAGAATATCAAAATATTCGATATAGTTCAATTTCTGATACTAATAGATTAAAAGGGTTAACAAACAGTCTAAAATCACTAAGAGAGCTTACATCATTTGAAACCAATTTGTATCAATTCAAAACATCATTATGCAAATTCTCTAATCAAGAAAACTCTTCTCAAATATTAGATTTATCAAACAATTATTTAAAAGAAGCAAAAAAAATAATCAATAATTAAAAAAACATTATCAATAAAATTTAAAATATTCCACAGTTAAACTTTTTTTTTATTAATTATTTTTTAAAATTGGTTATAATTAATAAAATAATTTAATAATAATATTAAGAATGTAAATAGAAAAAATAATTCAGATATTAATTAAATTTTTAAAAGATATTTTTTAATTTAATAAAGTTAAAAATTTAATGTAAATTTTACATAGAAATTGTTTTTTTTCTATTTTATCATTTTTGCTTTATACATATTTCAACAACCATGTATTTTTTTATAAAGACACAACTCCCCCCCCATAACTAGGGGAACTTAAAAAATAAAAAAAATTAATTTTTGATTTAATTTTTTTTTATTCAGATTTTTTTTATTATTTTTCAACCTATTTTTAATATTACAGCCCATTTAATTTTTTTTTTTCATAATTTTTTTTTATTTCTTTTTTAATTTTTTTAAAATTTTTTAAATCAAATAACCTATATAAATTTATTAAAATAAAAAATATAATATTATTATAAAGTATCTATTAGTGAATATTATATATTACATTACAATATTTCTGCAATGGTAATTAAACAAAGAAACCAAAAGTTTGAAATAACCACGGGTATTAGGAACAATTTAGGTAAATATAAATTTAAATTCATTAATCAATTTTTTATTTATAAATACTAATAATTTTATTTCTATAGCTAAGTATCAAGAGTCTAAAATATTTAGAGAAATTGTTCAAAATGCTGAAGATGCTGGTGCAAATGAAATCATCATTAAATTAGATTTAAATACCTATGGCTCTAAAAAATTATTTTTTAAAGAAGATGATGAATTCTATAACAACTTAAAGGATCTACAAGGACCAAGTATTATCATTTATAACAATGGTGTATTTAAAGATAGTGACTGGGAAGGTAAGTTTTATTTTAAAATTAATAATTATTATAAAAAAAATACAATAATAAAACCATTGTAATTTTAAAACGCCTCGAACCACTTTTTTTTTTTTATATGTAATTTTTTATTTTTTTTCATAAGGGTGAAGATATTAATTCAAAAAATATTTTAAAAAATTCTAAAATATAGGTATTGAATATATCGGTGAAGGATCAAAAAAGAAAGATATGCTTTCAATTGGTAATTTTGGGTTGGGATTCAATTCAACATACCATATTACTGATTGCCCTCAAATTATATCTGGAAAAAAACTTTGGTTTTTAGATCCAGTCAAGCTAATTAAAGAGGGTATCGAATGTGCTGACTTTACTGCTGAAAACTATGAAGAGTATGAAGATCAGTTTAAACCATTTGAACAGTTTGGCTGTACAATGAAGTCATTTTTCGAAGGTACCATCATTCGTTTACCATTGAGACTAAGAGGAAATAAAATCAAAGAAAAACCACTATCTATCAAAGATTGTGAAAAAATTCTTGAAGAATTTTACAATGAAATGTTAGAAATCCCAATCTTTCTTAAAGTAATATCATCTATTACTCTTGAGAGAAGCTCTAATTTTATTTTTAAGGTACAAGTTAAAAACCATGATCAAGTTCAAAATGAAAGAAAAAAAGTTGGTGAACATTTAAAAACAATTGTAAACTATGAAATGAAAGATAAAACTGACAATTATGAATTCAACACAATTATATCAAAAAAAAATCAAAATGATTTTAAATCAACATATCAACTTGAAATGGAAACATCATTAAATAATAATGGTGTAACCAAAAAAAATGAAATCAGTTTCATTGTATCACAAGGTATCTTAGTTTCAAATGAACTCAACTCTCTTGTAATTGACTCAGAGATCAAATTAGTATCGTATGGAGGTGTTGCAATTCCAATTACAAATAATAATGGCACTATCGAAGTATATGATAAAGAATTTCAAGGTAAACCATTCTGCTTTTTACCAATAGGCAATCAAAAAATCAGTTCAAAGGCTCATGTATTTGGATACTATATTCTTTCTGATGCTCGTTCTGAAATTCAATACACAAGTCAATCAAATCTTGTAAAAACTCAAGAGTACAAAATCAATAAATGGAATCATTTTATCTCAGAATCAGTTGTTCCATTTTTTTATAAAGAAGCACTAAATTACATGACCAGCTTCAATATCGATCTAATATCATATTTCCCATACCACTGTCTTGTAAATAAATCAAGTAACTCATCAGCCGAAATTGACTTTTCAATTCATACTATGGAATATATTATGAAATCAAATCTTTTTTTCACTGTATCTGAAAGATATTGTAGTTATATTAGCTCTATAATTGTAAAGGGAAACACTCAACAATTTATTTTAGATTATCTTGAAGGAACTGGATCAAATGTTATATTATTAAATGACTCTTTCATCAACTATCTTAGTAAGAATGGTTTTAAAGTTGGTATAATTTCACCAAAGATACTTTGTTCTGAGTTATCAAAAAACCAATTGGCTGAATATTCCGAAGATATTTTAAACTATCTTTGTTCTGACCATAATGGTGTTATTAGAGAAGGACTGTTAAACAATCTTAAAATTTTCCCAATAAATCACTCGGATCTAACAAAATTGGACTCATTGCAAACAAATCATAGTTTATCAAAAACCCAACCTTTCATTGTAGTATCTGATGAAATATATCAATTATTTATTGACATGAATTGTAATGTTGACTATGTTTTAAATACCTCTAAACTGTGCCCAAATGTAAATGAAAATATCAATTTAATCAAAAAAATCTATGTTAACTTTCAAATCATCGATATTGTTTCATTTTTAAACAAATTAAATATGGATACAGCATGTGACCATCAAAAAACCATATGGAAATTAATAGAAAGCTTTAATAATTTACATTCAAATACTCCAAAAGTAAATGAATTAATTTCAAAACTACCAATCTTTCCTTATAAAAATAAACAATCTTCAAAAATAAACTATATCAGCTTTAATGACCCAAGAGCCTTTTCAAATCATTTGACATCAGATGAAAAATATAGATCAATATTAGAGAAATTAAACTTTATTATCATTGAAAATCATGGCCCTTCAAAAATATTTTTAGGTATATATGAAACTTTAGAAAGATCATTAAGTAAAATATTTACAACAATCAAAAATATTAAATCATTGGAAGAATTACTATCACCAGAGGAAATTTCAACTCTTAGACAATATCTTTTCAATTTATTGAATCAATGCTATCACCAATTCGATAAATGGGGTAAATTTAATACAAATTCATTTTTCGCAATACCAATTCATGAATGTATTGGTATAATTGGTCAACAATTCACATCCATCTCCGAAAAGTCCATTTGTTCTAAAATTTCAAATATCAGAAATTATGAAATCATTGGCAAAGAAATTGTTTTAATAGAAAACTATATATATGACAATATCCAATTACCAACAAAATCAATTTATAAAAATGAAACAGAACTTCACCTAAATTATCTTTTACCAAACCTACCACGCTTTCCAAATTTGAAATCAATAGAAATCATTAAAAACTTTGTTAACAAATACTTGTATGGCCTAAATAAAAATGAAATTACAAAGTCAAATTGGATATTGACCAATGATAACAAATACATAAATATTTCAAAGTTTTATCATCTTTCAAAAGAAGAAATGGATATATATGACATAATTGATCCACAACTTGTCATCAACGATTCACTTATTAGTATATCAGATCATTTATATAAACTAAAATTGATAAATAATATATCAAAAAGCCGAGTAATAGATGCCACCGCTAAATATTTACAAAAACATCCCTTTAATGATGAACTTTACAATTTGTTTTTAGATTATACCAATCAATTAAGCAAGAATGAAATTAAAACAGAATTAGACAAAATTAATAAAATAAAATTCATTTCAAGTTCAAAAGTTTATACATATCCAGGTTTTGAACCAAAAACCCCAACCATTTCACTTTCAGAAGCTACGATTTTAGAACATAAAGATATCAAGTTTTCAATCAAATATCCAATCAAATTTGAAAAAACCTCAACTATTTATCAATACTTAAAAGATGACAATCAAACAGTTTTTGACCATTGGTATAAACTATTAAAAAATTGGGGAAATATCACAAATAAAATTGATGGAGCAACGATTTTTGATTCAATTTATAGAAATGTATCAAAAATTAAGAAACTTTCAGATCAGCAAACCAAATGTATAGAAGAAATTGAAAAATGTAATGTACTATGGTTTGGAAATGAACTTTTCAGTATTGATAGATTGTATACCGAAGGTGATTATATATTTACTCCATTCTACTACAAAGTCAATTTATCAGTTTACCCAATTTTCAAACAATTCAAAATGTTTAAAAAAATATTACAACCAAATGATTATTACAATATTATAACAGATATTCAAAATCAAAATGATATCAACGATCATTTGATTGGAATATATTGTATTTGTTTAAAACTAATATCATCCAATGATAGAAACGAAAGTTTTAAAAAAGAAAATATTAAATTATTACCAACCATTTCAAATAAACTAGTAGAATTTAATAAGGTTGTATTTTCTGAAATACCACTTGAAGATGAAGAGTACTTCCAATTAAATAAAAGTATTGATATTTTAACCGTCGAAAAATTAGAAATTCTCAAGTTTTCACAAATTACACAAGAAAAAGTAGCATTACCATTTGGTCAAAAAGAAGAACTTGTTCCACGTTTACAAGGTCTTATTAAAGATTATAGAACAGAAAGTTTTTTTAATGAAATGATTCAAGTAAGTATCATTTTTTGTATAAAAATTTTAACAATTTTAATTTTATTAATTATTTTATTTTAATAGAATGCCAGCGATGCCAATGCAAATGAAGTTAAAATATTTATGGATCGAAATAGCTATAAAAGTGACTATATAAAACCAAAAGATGTTCCAGATTTTGAAAATTATCTTTCCAACTCATTAGTTATTTATAATAACTCAATATTTACAGATCGAGATATTGAGAATATTCAAACAATAAGTTCATCATACAAAAAACAAGATCAATCAACAATTGGTTTCAATGGTTTAGGTATTAACTCAGCATACAACTTTTCGAATGTTATTACAATTTTATCTGGAAAGTATTTAATGATATTAGATCCATTTATTAGCCATATTCCAGTATCTAAGAGTAGATCAACAGGTGCAAAACTTGAAATTATCAAAGATTTTAATAGAAATGATAGAAAAGATTTTTTCAAACCATTTTTAAATTACAAAAAACTATTCAATATTGATTTCGATCAAGGAGAATTTAAAGGAACCATTATTAGATTACGTAAATATTAGATAAAATTTTAAAACCATGATAAATAATACCAATACTAATTATTATTTTTTTTATATAACAGCATTAAGAAAAAATATGAAAAAAGAAAACAATATCAGTGAAGCTTTATATTCATATGAAAAGGTTTTAAAACTTTTCAAAGACTTGGCTGATAACAATTTACATAACTGTATGCTTTTTACAAACATTAGAGATATTGAAATTGGCTCATTAATTCAAGATGATTATAGTTTATTTTACAAAACAACTAAACAAACTCCGAAACCAATCGAACAAAGAAAAACTATTGAGGTATTAGATGTTATTCCAATGGATTTAACAGAACAAAACTTTTTAATTATAGACAAAACAAAACAAATGAAAGAAACAAAGAGATTTATAGTAGGTTCAACAACTGTATTTGAAGACAATGAAAAGTTCTTAAATAAACTTCCAGAATATAGTAAAATCAGAAATTTCCTCACAATGTATACCGATGTAAAGAGAAAACCTTATGGTAGTATTGCTTTTGAAATATCGGATGTAGATGGATCTTATATAAAACAAAAATCGAAATCATTTTGTTACCTTCCATTCAAAGATATTGACCTGCCAATCCATGTTAATGGTTTCTTTTCAATGACCACAGCAAGAGATATATTTGAAACAAACAAATCCATCAACCTTACACTGGAAGACCCATTGAAACGAGTAGTTGATAAAACAGTTCAAAATCAAGAATCATTTTTAATATATTGGAATACTTTATTAATTGAAGATCTTATTACTCCAATATTTATCAAATCATTAATATTATACAAAGAAAAATATATTGCAAATGAAAGCCACCCAGATTTCAATGTCTACTTTAAACTTTTAAAGAGTTTTTATCACCTTTTCCCACTCGATATTCCTCACAGCACCTCTATTTTCCAAAAACTCACTTTAAGATTCTATCTTATTTCAAAACTAATGAAGATAGACTTTTTAATTCCACACCCAAACTACTATGATAGAAACAACCCAGATTCATTCTTATTATCAATTGACGGCACCCATAAACCCAGTAATTCAATATTAAAATGTTTTTCAAATTATGGTAGTATTTTCTTTATTCCAGACAAACTTTGTGAATCACTAGATCTTAAAGATTTATATATAAGCCCAGAATTATTATCAAAAACAATTAAAAGTAAAAGTCTAAACTCAGATATTTTAAATAACATCGAATGTTTAATTGATATTATTACTTATTTGGGTCCATCTCTGTCAGATGATTGTCAACTTTTAAAACTAAATAACGGTGCAGTTGAATTCGTTAATAAAAAAGAAACATTAATATTCAATCAAGAATACTATGGATTATTAAAAAACAACCCAAAAATCAACAAAGATGAAATATTTTTAGATAAAGAATTTTCTGAAAAGCTTTTCTGTAAAATGAAATGGAATTCAAATAAAATCATCCAATTAGACCCAATCCAATTCTTTTTCAAAATTATTTACCCAAACTATGAAAGCTTTTCCTTGGAGGATATTAAGAACATTTTAAACTTTTTAAAGAATTGTTTTTATAGTAATGGTAAATTCGAAATGGTCTCATTTAAAGAAAAGCAACATAATAAATTTAAAAAATCAAAATTAATACCATCTAAAACGAATGATATAGTTCAATTAAGATCAATTACTGAACTATATAGCTTTGAATTTAAAAATATGTTTAACTTATTATATCCTTTAGATTGCTTTAATACTCAAGAATGGAAACGAATCTTTGAAGAGTTTGGAATCAAAACTCATTTAGATAAGGAAAACATTGAAAGTGAATTCAAGAGACTTTCAAATGACTTTTACAAATTACCCTCAGAGGAATCAAAAGATTATATAACAAAGAGAAAAGAACTATTAAATAAATCATCCTATTTATGGACCAATGCAATTAACTTACACCATTCATCAAAAGACTCTTACAAAGATCTTTTCAACTCCATTATAGAACTAAATATTTTACCAACAAAATCTTCAGATTTATTTGGTAAAAAATCACCAGTACCATTTTTAGGAAGAATAAATAATTGCTATATCAGCGAACATGAAAATTTGTGCTACACAATCAAGTATCCATCTGATATAGTTATTCAATTCCCAAATGACTACAACCCAATTACAAATGAAGAAGTTTTTGAAAATCTAATTAATATAATCAACAATCACAACCAATGGCCAAAAAGAAATAATCAACATGATGATAAGATTTTTAATCTTTTAAGAATAAACTGTCAATATTTAGAAGATCAATTAAGAAGGAGATTTCCAATTAGAAATTTTGACAAATTTAAAATTAATAGCTTACCAGTTCAAGACTCAAACAAATCAATCTCATTTGAGAATATTATTTTTGAAAGTTATAAACTAGAACCATTTTTTACATCATTACCCGCATTTTATTCAAGCTTCCCAAATCTATTCAGATTAATGGGCGTAAAAACAATTGAAGAAAAGGAAACAATAGTCGAGAGATTAAATCAATACCTTCACACAGATATATCCATTCATATGAAATCATTTAAGACATTATATGATATGCTATATCTAAAGTATAATAATAAAAATAGAGATAAAACAATTCCAATCTTAACAAATATCAATTTTTTAAAACCTTTGTCGAAAGTAAGTAATTTACAAATCATATATTCTTAATTAACAAAACAATTTTACTAATACTCTTAAAAGGTTTTTCATGTAGATGATAAAATGATGTTTGAAAGAATAGATGTTTCAAATCAATTGTGGGCCATAAACTCAATGTATAACAATGATATTCAAACATGGGGAATTCCAGAACTATCAACTCTAATTAAAGAAGAAATTAATAAAGAAAAATCAATTTTCAATGAAAATTATGAATCTTTGGAATTAGAAATATTCAAATCAGAATTTTTAAATGATCCCGAACTAAAAAGATTAGTTTTAAATCAACCAGAAAAAATGAAAATAAATGATTTATCCTTAGTTTTTGGTTCGATCCATGTTCAATCAACTCTAATCTCTACAAACTCAAATATTTCAAATAACAAGAAAACCAACTATTTCTATGATACAGCTAAAAACATTTTATACTTAGACGAAAAAATAGATAGTATTTATTCCCCAATGGAAAAAATTTTTGATTTCAATTCAAACTCATTAAAGAACATTTTTAATAATATTAAAGTAAAAAGAGATCGTGTAAAGACTAATCAAAAAAATGAAGAGTTAGAAAACTTATTAAAAGATTTTAATTTATCTAGAAAATTTAAAAATGCGACAACAATAACAAAAACAAAAATAATTAATGATAAATCAAGAATTTTGTACGAAATTTCTTTTGAAAAAAATCAAATTGCTACTATTATGCACAATAATCATAAATATGATGAAGTTTTTAAATATTGTAATAAATCGATCATGTATGCGATTAAAAGTATTTTAGAGTATGAAGGAGTTTTCTATGGAACCAGTGACGATATAAATAGATTAAAGAGACTAACCAATTACTTCAACGAACAAAAAGAACCTACACCGTTTGAAACTAATTTAAACCAATTCAAAACATCACTATGCAAATACTCAAATGAAGAAAACTCATCAGCATTATTATTAGTTTCAAATGAATATTTACAAAAGGCAAGTTTTATTTTCAGTCAATAAATAAAACTAAATAAATTATTTTAAATTCAAAAACCTTTATTGTTTATTAATTATATAAATCCAAAGGATTTTCTCTATAAACTGAGTCTGTTGAAACCATATATTGAAATTTTCTAATCTTTCATTTTAAAAACCATAAAATGAAATGATTGTTAAATAACCTCTATTTGAACAGTTCTAGTACTTCTGATTATAAGTTTCCATTAAGCAAATCTTTTAATTGAAACGACGACTTCATTTAAGAAACTTGAACCTCAAAAAGATACTAATATCTTTGGGGAACCATATTTTAAATATTTTTGATAAAGTCAAAGGGAACTGTAAGGACAATTATAAAACTTTCAGTTATATCGCATTTGCCTGGCCAGGATAAAATAGATATTCTTCAAATTGTTGATGATTGTTATCATTTTGGTTAATAGGATTGGATGTTATTGCCTCAACAAGGGAAGTTACTAACCTTCCAAATTGTTTTAAAAAATTTTAAATTTAGTCCTATAACCATAGCACCATCAATAAGAGTTAGTACGGAATTCGTTGAATTTGTGTATAAAGTTGCATTTGATATTGATTTGAGTTTTGGAATCAGCTGATTTGCTCGTTCTTAAAAGACTATGGAAGAGAAGAATTAGATTTAATTGGATTGAAACTGGTTTGGGTACAATGAGACCATTATCAATAGTTGATGGGTTTTTATTGACAATTATAATTACTATAAATTTTCTTTTAATAAATTAATAAAAATTTATTGGTCAATATCGGTCAAAAAAAAAAAAAAAATTTATTTTTTTTAATTTAAATTTTATTTTTTTTTATTTAAATTTTATTTTTTTTAAATTTTTTTTTAATTTTAAAATTTCTGATTAATATCTTTGAATGCAAAAAAAAAAAAAACTCATTTAAACTAACAGGACATCCAAAAAAATTTTGATGAAAGGTGCTCATGTCGAAAAATCATTTATAAATGATCAATCAAATAATGCTGAGAATCCATTATGAAAACTAAAGATCATTGGTTAGAAAGACTTTCAATTTCAACAATTTGAATTCTAAAGGGATAAAATATTTATTAATAAAAAAGTATTTGAAACGTAAGTATTATCTTACAAATATTTTTAAAAAAAAAAAAAAAATTTCTAATATATTTTATTAAAGCAAAGATAAAACTATATTTATTTATGTCCTTTGGAAATTCAAAAACTAAACCATATAATTTTATTATGAATTGCAAAGTTAATATGTGTTTTGCAAAATTTATGACAAACTGAATTGTTTTTTTTTTTTTAGTTTTTATAATTAATTTTTTAATTATATAAACATTTTAATCTAATAACCTATTTAATAAATAATACGATATTATTTAAAACATAATTTTTTTTTGTTTCTTTTTTATAAATTTTTATAAATTTTTTTTAATCTTGTAACCATTTAATTAATATTTATCACATTAAAAAATACTATAATTTTTCAAAATATAATATTATTATAAATAATCATTTTGAATATTGGTAATTACAATATTTCTGCAATGGTAATTAAACAAAGAAACCAAAAGTTAGATATAACTACAGGTATTAGGAACAATTTAGGTAAATATAAATTTAAATTCATTAATCAATTTTTTATTTATAAATACTAATAATTTTATTTCTATAGCTAAATATCAAGAATCTAAAATATTTAGAGAAATTGTTCAAAATGCTGAAGATGCTGGTGCAAATGAAATCATCATTAAATTAGATTTAAATACATATGGCTCGAAAAAATTATTTTTTAAAGAAGGTGATGAATTCTATAACAACTTAAAGGATCTACAAGGACCAAGTATTATCATTTATAACAATGGTGTATTTAAAGATAGTGACTGGGAAGGTAAGTTTTATTTTAAAATTAATAATTATTATAAAAAAATTATTATTATTATAAAATTATTATTATTATTATAATAAAACATTATTTAAATCAATGCCTATTATAAAAAACTACAATAATAAAACATAATTATAATCGATATTAATTCTAAAAATTCTAAAATATAGGTATTGAATATATCGGTGAAGGATCCAAAAAGAAAGATATGCTTTCAATTGGTAATTTTGGATTGGGATTCAATTCAACATACCATATTACTGATTGCCCTCAAATTATTTCTGGAAAAAAGCTTTGGTTTTTAGATCCAGTCAAGCTAATTAAAGAGGGTATCGAATGTGCTGATTTTACTGCTGAAAACTATGAAGAATATGAAGATCAGTTTAAACCATTTGAACAGTTTGGCTGTACAATGAAGTCATTTTTCGAAGGTACCATCATTCGTTTACCATTGAGACTTAGAGGAAATAAAATCAAAGAAAAACCACTATCTATCAAAGATTGTGAAAAAATTCTCGAAGAATTTTACAAAGAAATGTTAGAAATCCCAATCTTTCTTAAAGTAATATCATCTATTACTCTTGAGACAGGCTCTAATTTTATTTTTAAGGTACAAGTTAAAAACCATGATCAAGTTCAAAATGAAAGAAAAAAAGTTGATGAACATTTAAAAACAATTGTAAACTATGAAATGAAAGATAAAACTGACAATTATGAATTCAACACAATTATATCAAAAAAAAATCAAAATGATTTTAAATCAATATATCAACTTGAAATGGAAACATCATTAAATAATAATGATGAAATCAAAACAAATGAAATCAGTTTCATTGTATCACAAGGTATATTGGTTTCAAATGAACTCAACTCTCTTGTAATTGACTCAGAGATCAAATTAGTATCGTATGGAGGTGTTGCAATTCCAATTACAAATAATAATGGCACTATCGAAGTATATGATAAAGAATTTCAAGGTAAACCATTCTGCTTTTTACCAATAGGTAATCAAAAAATCAGTTCAAAGGCTCATGTATTTGGATACTATATTCTTTCTGATGCTCGTTCTGAAATTCAATACACAAGTCAATCAAATCTTGTATACACTCAAGAGTACAAAATCAATAAATGGAATCACTTTGTCTCAGAATCAGTTATTCCATTTTTTTATAAAGAAGCACTAAACTACATGACCAGCTTCAATATCGATCTAATATCATATTTCCCATACCACTGTCTTGTAAATAAATCAAGTAACTCATCAGCCGAAATTGACTTTTCAATTCATACTATGGAATATATTATGAAATCAAATCTTTTTTTCACTGTATCTGAAAGATATTGTAGTCTTAGAAACTCTATAATTGTAAAAGGAAGCACTCAACAATTTATTTTAGATTATCTTGAAGGAACTGGATCAAATGTTATATTATTAAATGATTCGTTCATCAACTATCTTAGTAAGAATGGTTTTAAAGTTGGTCTAATTTCACCAAAGCTACTTTGTTCCGAGTTATCAAAAAACCAATTGGCTGAATACTCTGAAGATATTCTAGACTATCTTTGCTCTGATAATAGTGTTATTATAGACGGATTATTAAACAATCTTCAAATTTTCCCAATTAATCATTTAAATTCAACAAAATTAGACTCATTGCAAACAAATCATAGTTTATCAAAAACCCAACCTTTCATTGTAGTATCTGATGAAATATATCAATTATTTATTGACATGAATTGTAATGTTGACTATGTTTTAAATACCTCTAAACTGTGCCCAAATGTAAATGAAAATATCAATCTTATCAAAAAATTCTATGTTAACTTTCAAATCATCGATATTGTTTCATTTTTGAATAGACTAAATATCAAAACAGCAAGTGACCATCAAAAAACCATATGGAAATTAATAGAAAGCTTTAATAATTTACATTCAAATACTCCAAAAGTAAATGAATTAATTTCAAAACTACCAATCTTTCCTTATAAAAATAAACAATCTTCTAAAATAAACTATATCAGCTTTAATGACCCAAGAGCCTTTTCAAATCATTTGACATCAGATGAAAAATATAGATCAATATTAGAGAAATTAAACTTTATTATCATTGATAATCATGGCCCATCAAAAATATTTTTGGATATATATGAAACTTTAGAAAGATCATTAAGTAAAATATTTACAACAATCAAAAATATTAAATCATTGGAAGAATTACTATCACCAGAGGAAATTTCAACTCTTAGACAATATCTTTTCAATTTATTGAATCAATGCTATCACCAATTCGATAAATGGGGTAAATTTAATACAAATGCATTTTTCGCAATACCAATTCATGAATGTATTGGTATAATTGGTCAACAATTCACATCCATCTCCGAAAAGTCCATTTGTTCTAAAATTTCAAATATCAGAAATTATGAAATCATTGGCAAAGGAATTGTTTTAATAGAAAACTATATATATGACAATATCCAATTACCAACAAAATCAATTTATAAAAATGAAACAGAACTTCACCTAAATTATCTTTTACCAAACCTACCACGCTTTCCAAATTTACAATCTATTGAAATCATTAAAAACTTTGTTAATAAATACTTGTATGGCCTAAATAAAAATGAAATTACAAAGTCTAATTGGATATTGACCAATGATAACAAATACATAAATATTTCAAAGTTTTATCATCTTTCAGATGAAGAAATGGATATATGTAACTTAATAGATCCACAACTTGTCATCAACGATTCCCTTCGTAGTATATCAGATCATTTGTTTAAACTAAAATTGATAAATAATATATCAAAAAGCCGAGTAATAGATGCCACCGCCAAATATTTACAAAAACATCCCTTTAATGATGAACTTTACAATTTGTTTTTAGATTATACCAATCAATTAAGCAAGAATGAAATTAAAACAGAATTAGACAAAATTAATAAAATAAAATTCATTTCAAGTTCAAAAGTTGAAACATATCCAGGTTTTGAACCAAAAACCCCAACCATTTCACTTTCAGAAGCTACGATTTTAGAACATAAAGATATCAAGTTTTCAATCAAATATCCAATCAAATTTGAAAAAACCTCAACTATTTATCAATACTTAAAAGATGACAATCAAACAGTTTTTGACCATTGGTATAAACTATTAAAAAATTGGGGAAATATCACAAATAAAATTGATGGAGCAACGATTTTTGATTCAATTTATAGAAATGTATCAAAAATTAAGAAACTTTCAGATCAGCAAACCAAATGTTTAGAAGAAATTGAAAAATGTAATGCACTATGGTTTGGAAATGAACTTTTCAGTATTGATAGATTGTATATGGAAGGTGATTATATATTTACTCCATTCTACTACAAAGTCAATTTATCAGTCTACCCAATTTTCAAACAATTCAATATGTTTAAAAAAAAATTAGTACCAAATGATTATTACAATATTATAACAGATATTCAAAATCAAAATGATATCAACGATCATTTGATTGGAATATATTGTATTTGTTTAAAATTTATCTCATATGAAAGAAACGAAAGTTTTAAAAAAGAAAACATTAAATTATTACCAACCATTTCAAATAAACTAGTAGAATTTAATAAGGTTGTATTTTCTGAAACACCACTTGAAGATGAAGAGTACTTCCAATTAAATAAAAGTATTGATATTTTAACCGTCGAAAAATTAGAAATTCTCAAGTTTTCACAAATTACACAAGAAAAAGTAGCATTACCATTTGGTCAAAAAGAAGAAATAGTTCCACGTTTACAGGGTCTTATTAAAGATTATAGAACAGAAAGTTTTTTTAATGAAATGATTCAAGTAAGTATTATTCTTACCCATTATTTGTGTTAATACTATTATAAACTTTACAAATTTATTTTTAATTATTTTAATAGAATGCCAGTGATGCCAATGCAACTGAAGTTAAAATATTTATGGATCGAAATAGCTATAAAAGTGACTATATAAAACCAAAAGATGTTCCAAATATTGAAAATTATCTATCCAACTCGTTACTTTTCTATAACAACTCAATATTTACAGATCGAGATATTGAAAGTGTTCAAAGAATTAGTTCATCATACAAAAAACAAGATCAATCAACAATTGGTTTCAATGGTTTAGGTATTAACTCAGCATACAACTTTTCGAATGTTATTACAATTTTATCTGGAAAGTATTTAATGATATTAGATCCATTTATTAGCCATATTCCAGTATCTAAAAGTAGATCAACAGGTGCAAAACTTGAAATTATCAAAGATTTTAATAGAAATGATAGAAAAGATTTTTTCAAACCATTTTTAAATTACAAAAAACTATTCAATATTGATTTCGATCAAGGAGAATTTAAAGGAACCATTATTAGATTACGTAAATATAAGATAAAAACTTAAAACCATGATAAATAATACCAATACTAATTATTATTTTCTTTATATAACAGCATTAAGAAAAAATATGAAAAAAGAAAACAATATCAGTGAAGCTTTTTATTCATATGAAAAGGTTTTAAAACTTTTCAAAGACTTGGCTGATAACAATTTACATAACTGTATGCTTTTTACAAACATTAGAGATATTGAAATTGGCTCATTAATTCAAGATGATTATAGTTTATTTTACAAAACAACTAAACAAACTCCGAAACCAATCGAACAAAGAAAAACTATTGAGGTATTAGATGTTATTCCAATGGATTTAACAGAACAAAACTTTTTAATTATAGACAAAACAATACAACAGAAAGAAACAAAGAGATTTATAGTAGGTTCAACAACTGTATTTGAAAACAATGAAGAGTTTTTAAATAAACTTCCAGAATATAGTAAAACAAGAAAGTTCCTCACAATGTATACCGATGAAAAGAGAAAACCTTATGGTAGTATTGCTTTTGAAATATCGGATATAGATGGATCTTATATAAAACAAAAATCGAAATCATTTTGTTACCTTCCATTCAAAGATATTGACCTGCCAATCCATGTTAATGGTTTCTTTTCAATGACCACAGCAAGAGATATATTTGAAACAAACAAATCCATCAACCTTAAACTAGAAGACCCATTGAAACGAGTAGTTGATAAAACAGTTCAAAAACAAGAATCATTTTTAATATATTGGAATACTTTATTAATTGAAGATCTTATTACTCCAATCTTTATCAAATCATTAATATTATATAAAGAAAAATATATTGCAAATGAAAGCCACCCAGATTTCAATGTCTACTTTAAACTTTTAAAGAGTTTTTATCACCTTTTCCCACTCGATATTCCTCACAGCACCTCTATTTTCCAAAAACTCACTTTAAGATTCTATCTTATTTCAAAACTAATGAAGATAGACTTTTTAATTCCACACCCAAACTACTATGATAGAAACAACCCAGATTCATTCTTATTATCAATTGACGGCACCCATAAACCCAGTAATTCAATATTAAAATGTTTTTCAAATTATGGTAGTATTTTCTTTATTACAGACAAACTTTGTGAATCACTAGATCTTAAAGATTTATATATAAGCCCAGAATTATTATCAAAAACAATTAAAAGTAAAAGTCTAAACTCAGATATTTTAAATAACATCGAATGTTTAATTGATATTATTACTTATTTGGGTCCATATCTATCAGATGATTGTCAACTTTTAAAACTAAATAACGGTGCAGTTGAATTCGTTAATAAAAAAGAAACATTAATATTCAATCAAGAATACTATGGATTATTAAAAAACAACCAAAAAATCAACAAAGATGAAATATTTTTAGATAGAGAATTTTCTGAAAAACTTTTTAGTTTAACGAAATGGAATTCAAATAAAATTATCCAATTAGACCCAATCCAATTCTTTTTCAAAATTATTTACCCAAACTATGAAAGCTTTTCCTTGGAGGATATTAAGAACATTTTAAACTTTTTAAAGAATTGTTTTTATAGAAATGGTAGGTTCGAAATGGTCTCATTTAAAGAAAATCAATATAACCTACTAAAACAATCAAAATTAATACCATCTAAAACGAATGATATAGTTCAATTAAGATCAATTACTGAACTATATAGCTTTGAATTTAAAAATATGTTTAACTTATTATATCCTTTAGATTGCTTTAATACTCAAGAATGGAAACAAATCTTTGAAGAGTTTGGAATCAAAACTCATTTAGATAAGGAAAACATTGAAAGTGAATTCAAGAGACTTTCAAATGACTTTTACAAATTACCCTCAGAGGAATCAGAAGATTATAGAGCAAAGAGAAAAGAACTATTAAATAAATCATACTATTTATGGACGATTGTAATGAAATTACACTATTCATCAAAAGACTCTTACAAAGATCTTTTCAACTCCATTATAGAACTAAATATTTTACCAACAAAATCTTCAGATTTATTTGGTAAAAAATCACCAGTACCATTTTTAGGAAGAATAAATAATTGCTATATCAGCGAACATGAAAATTTGTGCTACACAATCAAGTATCCATCTGATATAGTTATTCCATTCCCAAATGACTACAACCCAATTACAAATGAAGAAGTTTTTGAAAATCTAATTAATAATCAACAATCACAACCAATGGCCAAAAAGAAATAAACAACATGATGATAAGATTTTTAATCTTTTAAGAATAAACTGTCAATATTTAGAAGATCAATTAAGAAGGAGATTTCCAATTAGAAATTTTGACAAATTTAAAATTAATAGCTTACCAGTTCAAGACTCAAACAAATCAATCTCATTTGAGAATATTATTTTTGAAAGTTTAAAACTAGATCCATTTTTTACATCATTACCCGCATTTTATTCAAGCTTCCCAAATTTATTCAGATTAATGGGCATAAAAACAATTGAAGAAAAGGAAACAATAGTCGAGAGATTAAATAGATTCCTTAACTCAGACATATCTAATCATTTGAAATCATTTAAGACATTATATGATATGCTATATCTAAAGTTTATTAAAAATGAAAATAGAGATAAAACAATTCCAATCTTAACAAATATCAATATTTTAAAACCTCTAATTAAAGAAGAAATTAATAAAGAAAAATCAATTTTCAATGAAAATTATGAATCTTTGGAATTAGAAATATTCAAATCAGAATTTTTAAATGATCCCGAACTAAAAAGATTAGTTTTAAATCAACCAGAAAAAATGAAAATAAATGATTTATCCTTAGTTTTTGGTTCGATCCATGTTCAATCAACTCTAATCTCTAAAAAATCAAATATTTCAAATAACAAAAAAACCAACTATTTCTACAATCGAGTTAAAAATATTTTATACCTAGATGAAAAAATAGATAGCATTTATTCGTCATTGGAAAAAATTTTTGGTTTCGATACAAATTCATTAAATAATATTTTTAATAAAATCATATCAAAAAGAAATAGTGAAAAGATTAATCAAAAAAATGAAGAGTTTGAAAGCATACTAAAAGATTTTTCTAAATTTAGAATCAATGATAAATCAAGAATGTTTTACGAAATTTCTTTTGAAAAAAATCAAATTGCTACTATTATGCACAATAATCATAAATATGATGAAGCTTTTAAATACTGTAATAAATCGATCATGTATGCGATTAAAAGTATTTTAGAGTATGAAAAAACATCCTATGGAACCAGTGACGATATAAATAGATTAAAGAGACTAACCAATTGCTTCAACGAACAAAGAGAACTTACATCGTTCGAAACCAATTTAAACCAATTCAAAACATCACTATGCAAACACTCAAATGAAGAAAACTCATTAGCATTATTATTAGTTTCAAATGAATATTTACAAAAAGCAAATTTTATTATCAATCAATAAAACTAAATAAATTATTTTAGAATACAATACTTTTTATTATATATTTATATATTTTTTAAATATAATTCCTTATTTTTTTTAATGAGAAATTACAACACCACTTTTTGCATTTGGGTCAAATTTAAAAGTTAATTTCTTCCAGAATAACAAAACAATGGAGATGTCAAAAATGAACATTGCAATTAATACGATGAATAAAGGAAGACGTCTAACCATTTCTAAACCATAACCAGCCCAAAGAGGACCTAAGATTCTGGCAGCAGATCCCATGAGCATCATAAAACCACTTGCAAAACCTTGAGTTTCGTCATCACCATAAATTCTATTTAAAAGTTTTGAATAAAGACTGTAGACAGATGTGTTTTGAGTAGGAATACCAACAGTTGTAATTGCTACTGATAAAATGAATTTCCAAATTGGTACTTTATCTGATGCTAAACCAATACCAAAAAATATCATCATCAATATTAGACCACCACCTAAAAATATCATTCCAAATAAGATTACATGCTTATCTTGACCTCCTTTACCGGTTACAATTAATGTGAATATGATGAATACAATAATTTCTAGGGATACACAACTATACATTATACTATTTTGAAGTGTCTTGAAACCATACTGTTCAGCTGTGATTGGTGTGATTAATGTTTCTAATACACCAAATACAAAATTTTGTACAAAATTAATAACAAAACATGTTAATAATGATGCATCTAAAATTTTCTTAAAGTTTTCTAAAAATGTTGGCTCCTTTTTATTTATTTTATAAAGAGATGGTGATGGTGTGTCTTGGGTACTTTTATGGATTTTTCTGCTTGAGAAATGTGAGAATGATGAATGGGGTGTAATCATTGTGCTTGAAATTGGATCATTATTGCTATTATTATTTATTCTATATATTAAACTATTATTATAATTGCTATTATTATTTTGATCCTCTTCATTATTAATTGATTGATATTTGCTAAAAGTATTATATTTATATTTATTATTACTATTGTTATTTATATCTGTGTTTGAATATTTATTTAATCCCAAATGACTTGCACTTTTTTTAATAAATATTTGCTTTTCTAATGACTCTTTACTATTTTCACCACCTGGAGTTTCATTAACAGTTGATTCTTGAACAACATTGTCGTTATTTTCAATATCTGATCTTTCTTTATAAGTTGGTTCTTTAAATAAAATGAATGATACTAAAGTTAAAAACAATAATATTGCTAAAAACCAACCAGGAGAACGTAATGGATCGAAAATAAAATGAACTTTTCCAATCCAAAAACCTGTATTAATTGCATTTATACCAAGGTTAAATGCACTATAAATAACAATAACAATAATAATAAATTGATATTAATATTTGATTTTAATAAACTATTAAAATATATGAATAAATACTTACGGTCCTGCAACAAGTCCAATAGCATTAATACCATTAATTATGCCATTATACTTGGTTCTTTGTTCCTTTGTTGAAACTGCGGCAATGTAACTTGTAGTAATTGCCATATTACTACTACCAATTCCTGCAATAAAACGGCCAATAATTATCATTATTGGTTTAACTGACATTGCATATACCACATTACCAGTTATACCTATGACCAAACATCCAATAAGAGCTTCTTTCATTGTTCTTTTATCTGCCCAAATTCCAACCAATGGTAAAAATATAACCTGTGCTAAACTAAACATTGCCAATGCCCATCCAAGATCATTGTTATTTCCTCCTACTGACTCTACATATGCTAAAAGTGATGGCATTACAATTCCGTATTCTACATTTGCAATGAAACCAATTGCCATAACAATAATTAATGATATTTTATGAATTTGATTAAATGAAGCATCTTCACCACTATTTATTAATTTGGTTGTTTCATTTTCTTTATTTACAATTGATATAGAATCATTTGATTCTTCCATTTTTTTTTTTTTTGCAATTGGGTTTTTTTTTTTAAAAAAACCAATTTACAACAAATTTTGTTATATAATTGATTTAATTAAATTAATTATGTGTATATATATAAAAAAAAATGGTAAAATAAAAAATGGTTTATTTTAAATAAAAAATCAGTTTAAAAAAAAAAATAATAAAATAAAAAAATAAAAAAAAATAAAAAAAATAAAAAAAAGTTTTGTTTTTATTTAAAAAAATAAAAAAATAAAAAAAATCAAAATGTCGGTATGGTTTCGGAATAAAATAAAATATAATTTGGGTGTGTGTAAAAATCCATAATTGTAGTAATAATCTTTTAAAGAAATTTCTAAAGAATGTTATCAACCTTATATTTAATTTTAAAAACCAAAAATAATTTAAATAAAAAAAAATAAAAAAGATAATTACAATTATATTTATAAAAAAGATATTTATTTTTAAAAATAAAAAAAATTTTTTTTTTTCTTTTTTTTTTTTCATATTTTTTTATAAAATGGGGATGGTTTTTTTTAAAATATCCATTTTTTTTTTTTTTTTTTTTTCATCATTTGCAAAAAAAAAAAAATAAAAATAAATGAAAATATCGACAAGTATTATATTTTTTATAATCTCTGTTATTTTTATAATACTTTTACCAAATAATAATAATAAAAATTTAGTACAATCAACAAAATATGAAGACCTTAGTTGCTTATCAAACTTTTTATCTCAGGTATTTTCTTTCCCACCAGAGGAGACTGTAGTTTGCTCAAACTCAATTATTGACGCCAATGGATTCTCTTACTACCCAATGTGTAATTCTGATGATACTGAACTTATTAAATTGTAAGTATTTTATATTATTTTATATAGATTATTACTACTTTTATATTTGATATTAATAAAATTTTATTTTAAAGATCGATCAAAATGATTTCATTCACTCCAAAAAAAATTACATATAACCTTTTAAACTGTTTTACAAATTTAGAAGAATTGTAAGTATAATATTATTTCTATCTTTTTTAAATTTTTTTTTTTTGCTAATATAAGAATATTATTAGAACTTTAAAAAACTTTTTAATAGCAGAAAACGCATTAGGTACTGATGATGACTCTAAAGGAGTTGCTACTAAAATTTTTCTTGATGAATGTTCATTCGATAGTGGCTACATAACCTCAAGCGGTAAATCAATTATATCATCGACTACAGACTTTACAATCAAAATAAATGAAAATTCAAATTTACTTTATCTCCACTTTTCAAGAATCAAATATACAAAAAATTTGTAACAAAGTTTTAATTTTTAATTTAAATCAAATGGATAAACAACCAGCAAGAGATTCTCTTGGAAATTTTGATACATTTAATTTTATAGATCAACTTAACTTAAGTTTTGATTTTGTTTCAGATTATCCCGACAAATTAAGTGATCCAAAAAATAAAATTAAAAAACTATCAATTAATGGTACATTAGTAGCATCAGATCCAAATGGGTACTCGATTCAACCAGGTCTTGAAAGTTTAGTTCTCATAGGTCAAAGTATTGATTTTAATATTGCAAGTAAATTCCCATTCAATACCCCATTCCCTGACTCTTTAAAAGAAATTTCTGTAAATTCATTGGGTTTAACAAGTTTACCTACAGTTTTTCCAGAAGGAATTGAAATAATGTAATATAACCTTTATTTATTTATTAATTTATTAACTAATTTTCTAATAGATTTTTTTTTTAAAATTTGTAGTGGAATTGATAATAATGATGGTATTAGTTCAGAAGGTATATTTACATTACCCGACTTTTCAAATTATAAAAATCTAAAAAAAGTATCTTTAGTTGGTAATAAAATTAGCGGGTCAATTCCAGAATCATATTGCTTATTTGAACCTGTTTTAACTGATAATAATCTTTCAGGAAGTTTACCAAAATGCTTTTCATGTTTTATTGATCAATTTCCCACAAACTTTAATGGCAACTTGTTAACAAATATTGCTATTTGTGAATCAGGCTCCATTGTCCCAAGTTTAGAGTATGATAGCTCCTCAAAGCAACTAATACTAACGGGTAGTACTCTTGGGTTGCAGGGTCCTTTTATAAACAATGTTAAGAAATCATTTCAAGTTGTAGTTCCACAATCCAAATATACATTCTCTTGGGATACAGAGGCATATGGTCCACCACCAGATAAACTTTCAGTACAAATTGGCTCAAATAATTATACCTTAGCAACTAAAATTTTGGACCCTAAAATCTATGTTGTAAGAAAAGGAGGAAATACTTTTACTATTGAAGGTAATAATTTTTCCTATGAAAAAACTGATATTAAAATCCATATTGCAGGTATTGAAGCTTCTATTACCCACATTGATTATTATACAATTGTATTCAACTTTATTGGTAAAACATTGCCATTTGATAAACAAGTTCCAGCCACTATTCAAAATACAAAACTTTCGAAAATCTTTTCATTTTCAGTTAATACTATTGATAATATTACAACTCTAGTAACCCAATGTAATAGTGATTGCGGTATTCCTTTAGGTTTAGGTCGAATATGTAATTCAAATATAGGTAAATGTCAATGTGATATTTATTATGCAGGAGAAACATGTAACCTTCCAAATCAGTTTTTATCTTCAATATCCTCAATCCCAGAAACTGGTGGTAAAGTAGAAATGTATGGTTGGTTTGGCACTGAAAATGAAGATTTTTCAATTTAAATTGGTTCATTAGATTGTGAACCAATTCATTTTAAAAACAGTTCATTTGCAAATTGCACTGTTGGTGCAGGTACCGGTACACAATCAGTTACAGTATTCCAAAATGGTATTACCTGGACCCGTCAAAATTTTTTCCACTTTACTCAAACAACTTTCAAATGTCCAAAAGACTGCTCAAACAATGGTCAATGTAATACAGCAACTGGTCAATGTAAATGTAATTTAGAATGGGCAGGTTTCGATTGTAATTCAAAAGCTAATATTGATGGGGGTACAGCAACTACTGGAGGTAGTACAGAAACAACGCCAATCGAAATTCCAAAATCAAATACCACAGTTAATGAATCAACAGGATCTACAGCGATCGGAAATCAACAAACAGTTTATGAAATTAAAATACTATCATTAGCAGAAATAAATGTTTTAGGAGAAATAGTAAATTTATATAATTTAACAAATAAATGGAGCTCATCAAGTAGTAGCAACAAAAATATTTATTCATTCACCCAAACCATTGAACACTCAAGTACCATCACATATACAGTCGAAGAAATTAAAACAGAAAGAGATTATCCATTCGCAGGTTTAGATTTAACATTAGATAAAGATTCAATTAAAATTACAGTATCAATCAAAAACTACCCATTCTCAAGTGTACTTAATACATTACAACTAAGATTAGAATCAACAGTAGGTGAAATTGAAGATCAATCAAATAATGAATGTAACAATAAAGGAACTGAAATTGATACCAACCAAATCGACAAAGACCAACTATTAAACTATGTAACAATATCAAAAAATAAAAAAACACTTTATGGTCGTTTTATTAACAGAGTATTAAGTAACGAAAGAGAAACGTTTATTACAACCGAAGTTATATCAAAAAACATGTTCAGTGGCACATCAGAAAACAATATTAAAAACAAAGATACATTTATCATTGGTCTCAATTTACCACATTGCTCCTCTGAATGCTTAATCGATCCAGATTTCTCTGTGCTTGTCAGTAGCGACTATAAACAATGTGAATCAAAAAGAGGTCGTGCATCATGGGTATTACCAGTAGCAATCATTGTGCCATGTGTTGGTTTAGTATTAATTATAATTATAGGCGCCATTATAATCAAGAAAAACCGTATTAATTTTTTAATGGCAAAAAGAAGAGTATATAAATTAAAATCATTCAACTAAATTGACAACTCATTATATTTAATTGTAAAATATTAATAAATCAAAAATTTTTTTATCATTAATATTTTTTTATTTATAATTTAATAAAGATCATTTGGAGTATTTTTTTACCCTTGTTTATTATTTTTTTCTTAATTTAATCATACCAATTATTTATAAAAAAAACTAAAAAACTAAATTTATAATTTTATTTTGTTTTATTTAATTATTATTATTATTTTAAAAGCTATTATTATTAATTAATAATAAATTATAAACTGGAGGCATCTATTTCATTATCTAAATGGACATTAAGTGACTTTTGCATTTCAACAAAAGGTGATGATTTTGAAGCATAACGTGCAGTTGTACCAGACCAAAGATAATTACCCTTCATTAAATACTTCATATGGTCTAAAAATACTTTTACTTCATTCTGTTGTTCATCTGAAATACTTTCTAATAACATTTTTTCTTGGTATATAAAATCTCTAATAAAAGCGTTTGTTTGTTCTGCAATTACCTGATAAGAATGTTCTATTGATAAAGGATCGGCTCTTTTTTGTAAAATTAATAGTGAATTGATGAAACCTCCACCATTCTTAACTTCTTTACAATAGGATGCCATATCATTGACATGGGAGACTACCATACTTGTACACTCAAGCATTTTCTTATATCTTGGGGAATTGAAAATAGCTGGATTCACCTTATTATTTGCAAAGATTAAATAAGTGAAACCTTGGCATAGCTCTACACCGACATTAAGCTTTCTTAAATAACCGTGAAGTTGTAAATGAGGTGGTAATTTATGTTCCTGTAATAAAAAAATGAAAATTAATTAATATTAGAAATAAAACCTTATAAATCAACCTTTATATTACCATTGATTTATTTAATGGGATAATAGATAAAATCCATTGAATAGAATTGGTTAAAAACATGTTAAACATATCTTCTCTATCTCCAGCGATTTTTAATCCCTCATTTCTTAGGTAACAGGTGTATTTTTCTAAATCAGTTGGATTTTCTGGTAATTTACCTTCAATGAAGATAAACTCTGTTCTCTTAATCATTTCTATTGCTTCTGCATCATTAACTTTATCAGAATCTAAAATATCATCTAATAAAAATGTCCATAACATTAGATGGCTTTAATTAAAAAAATAAATAAAAAACCGATTTTTAAAATTAGTAAAAAAAAAAAAAAAATTTTACAAATCGAAAAAAAAAAAATATTATAATTACCCAATTAATTTCATTTCGGATCTTGAACATTTACACCAGAAATATGCACAACAACTAATAGTATGGTACATCCATGTATAACTTTTTTCGTCACCCCTTTCAAATAAATTAAATTGTAAAGCTTCTTCATAACAATCATCAATAAATATATAATCGTTTGGAGGAACTTGCCATTCTTCTGGAAAAACTATATTTTTAAAAGATAGAGACATATTTTAAATTATTAGTATATAACTATGTTTTATTTTTTATAAAAAATAATCTAAACGAAAATAATAATTATTTTATATTTTTTCTAAAAATAAAAAAAAAAAATATAAATCATTTAAAAAATTAAAAAAAAAAAAAAAAAAATATTTAAAAAAAACTTTATCTTTACACAAAAAAATTAAAGAAGTTTTTAACAAATAACAGATAAAAAATTCATTACAGTAAAAATACATTCACAAAGAAGTTTTTTAACACAAAAAAAAATAAAAATAAAAATGAAAAATAATTCCACGATTTTGTGTATTTACCACACAAAAAAATTATTATTTTTTTTTTTTTTTGACCATTATATTTTTTAATTTATCTATAAATTTTCTTTTACTTGTATTAATAATCAAATATTTTACATTTTTAGAATTTAATCTTTAAAATTACTTTCATTTTTTTTTAAAAAAAAAAATTAAACTAAATAACTACATCACAAAGACAAGTCAACACCAAAAAATAAAAAAAATAAAAAAATTAAAAAAATTAAAAATATACGTGTATTATATTGAATATTTTTATTTATCAGATTGATATTTTTTATTATTTTAAAATTATATTTATTAAAATTTAAACTATTAACCCCATTGACTTGTTAATTCAAGCAATAAACAAAAACTATCTGAATAATGACAGTATTTCTCTTTATATAAAGCGTCTAGAGATATAAATTTAGGCCAACCCCAAGCACTATCAAAACCCTCATCAAACATTTTTTTAAATGAATACTCTATAGAATCTTGGAATCTAAAGCCGATTATACTTGCTAACACTGAAATAGCTAATGGTTTAGTTAATTTACTACCAAATGCCAGATAAACTGCTAATTGACCTTTTTCTCTTTCTTTTAGTTGAACAAAAAACTCTCTATCTTTAAATGTAAATCTTTCTAAATTGGCTGGGAATTTAATATCTTTTTTAATTCTATATAAAAATAAATTTGTAGATTGACCAAATTCTGATGAAGAATTTAATGGTATAATCTCATTAGTTACATTTGAGTCAAATGGTTGACCTAATATAAAAGAAATTTATTAATACCAAGTATAAATAAAATAAATATATTAAAATATTAATACTTACTCATTCCTAATAAAAACTCGATTGGATAAGATTTTTTTCTATTATTACGTTGTCTTCTATAATGATAACCTAAAAATGAAAAGTTTTCACCTCTATTTGACTTTAAAATGTTCTGTATAAATAAAAAATATAAAAAAAAAGAGAATTAGTATATATTATTTTAAAAAACCATTATTTTAAAATATTTACTCTTAATAAATTTGTAATTTCTTTGTCTGGTATAATTTTTAAACTGTCTAAACGTTCAAATGCCTCCCCTATATTCATATTTTCCCAACGAATTAATGGCAATAGTTTATTTAATAAATTTTTATCAATTGATTTATCCCACTCTTCTATGATATCTGATGATTCATTTTCATTTGTGTAGTAATAGTCATCATTTGCACTATCTTCCTTGTCATCATCATCACTAAAGTCATCATCTTCGTCGTCATCATCATCATCGTCATCAAACTCTTCACCACGTTCCCTATGCTCTTCGTCATCTATATCACTATAAGTTTCCTCTGTGTCACTATGGCAATCATTGTTGTTATTGTTATGTTGATTTCTAAAATGCCCCATGATACCATCCTTTAGAGATAATGAATTCCTTCTACTGCTACATCTACTGCTACAACTACCGTTTGACTCTGCATCATCATTGTTACCTCTTTTATAGGATGAACTGTTTCTTTTGTTGTGACTTTTACCTGGACCACTTTGAGTTAAAAAACCAGATTGAGGGGCACTATTTTCTCTACACCAATCGATAACGGAATCTAATATATCAAGCTCCTCCATTCTAAGACCATCATTACGTAGCATATCACACAGGGTTTTAATACAAATACTATAGAAAGCGTCACAATGAAGCGAAACTGAAGCATACTGTAAGATGAAGGCTCTAAGATTAGGATGAACATCCTCTACCTCTATTGAGTTTTGATTTAAAGAATCCCAAAGCAATAAAGCACTTTCGATATCTGGTTTATCTAGATACATTTGGGCAATTTTTGTCATTGTTGCAAGTGATAACTCTTTTCCTCTATTTAATCCCAATAGATCGCAATACTGATAAATTGATCCTACCATTCTATGGTCATAATCTAAATCTAGAATACCAATACAAATATATTTTAATACAATAAAAAACACATCTGGATCTACACCTTCCAATGTAATCTCTTTAATTGATGATTCCTTCATTGACCCAGTAAACATTGCTTTAAAGTATTCACTTCTTGCCACCAACATAATTTTACTTGCAAAGAATCTTTTACCACCAACTTTAAATATAACATCACTAAACTGTGAAGGTTGTTCTGAATCTCCTAAAATACCAAATGTATTACTAAGATCTTTTGCTAATTTTATAATATCTTCTTCTGCACCATTATTTGATGATTCATCCTGACTTGAACTTAATGAGGTTGGTGATTTATGAAATCCTGCTGATGTTGAAATCATTTCTATCGAAAAAAAAATAAAATAAAGTGTTATTTAAAATTTTAATTAAATAAAAAATAAAAATAAAAAATAAAAATAAAGATAAAAAATTATAATTTAAAAAAAATAAAAAAAATAATTATAATTACTTTGATTTGATTTTTTTAAATTATTTTTATTACTATTTTGATTATTAAATGATATTCTCACTAATGAATCATATTCCATTTCTTTTAAAATATATACTTTTTTTTTTTTTCTATATTTTTATTTCCTTGTTCTAATTTTTTTAAAAATAAAGAAAAATATAAATAAAATTTTGTATTTAAATTAATATATAGAAATAGAAAACAATAGATAAAAAAAAAAAAGATAAATATTTTTGATAAATAAATAATTATTAAAATAAAAAAATAATTTGTAATCACACACAACATATAAAAAAATAAAAATAAAAATAAAATATATAAAAAAAAAAAAAATTATAAAGGCTGTTTTAAAAAAAGTACGAAGTAAATATATTTACAATACACACAATTGAGTGTTAAATTTAACCAAGTGCTATTATTCTTTAAATTAAATTGGTTTATAAACTATATTTCTATTTAATAATAAAATATGCCATATACATACAAAAAAAAAAATTATTTGAATATGTGTGTTTGTTTTTTTTTTTTTGTGCTATGTGTGGTTTTAAATGTAATTAAAATAATAATCAACTTATGATATAAAAATAATATAATTGATTAAAAAAAACAATTACCATAATATGATTTTTATTAAGATGAATGATTAAAACCATTAATAAACTTTTTAATAAAACTGATATAACTGAATTAATATAAAAAATGTTGGGTATATTATATGGCTCTATATTATTTAATTTTATTATAATAAATACTATTACAATGAGATAACTATGTT